GCCAACGGACGCACTGATCCGCCTCCGTTCCCGCCTCCTGCACCTGCCTTGTTGTTAGCGGGCCTCAGGCTGTTGTCGTTCGAGTTGTATCTGCGAAAAGGAGGGAAAACAGGAGAAGCGTTCACCACACGAGTTAAACTAGACGTTAGCGTTGCGGTTTGATGGCTGGGGACTGACTGAAATTGGAAATTCGATGGCGTTCAGGCAAGGTGGCGATATCGATTCGTTGCAAACTTTGAAATGACCCCCGCATCCCCGCATTTGTGCATTTTAGCTCACATTTTTTAGTACAACCAAGAGACACTATTTGACTGTTCAGATCAGACAAAGACACATTGGGGAATCACCTTGCTGAAGTTGGAGTCACTTGTTCAGTACCAGCATTAAGATATCATTTTTTGTTTCAAACAAAGACTATAGGGGAATCACCAAGCAATTAATTTATGATTTAAGTTGCGTGCCACTGTTCAAAGCTATTATGAAAAACTATGTTTTAAAATTTGAAATACAGTTAATACAATCAATTTGAAATCAGGCAAGAGTATGATGGTTTCTACGAAAAAATATTTACCAATATTTATAATAGTGAGTTTTTATTATGATACCGCTTTAAACTACTTCCTAATGATTTTCAAGTGCTATCGATATGCGTTCCGCGAAAGTAATCAGCCAAATGAAACCTCTTTGACCGGCTTTGTCGCTGTCGCAACCCGAACCGAACTCATTCCGTGGACGCCGTCCTCTGTGCTTTTCGGGGGGTGTTTTGGCATTGGTTGCGTGCGGACAGGATCGACGACCGTGAAATGCGCAACGCAACGCACAATGAACCCGCGGTGGGTGTGGGTGTGGGGATGGAAGCAGGGGCGGAGCGGAACCAAACGGAGAGGGGCTAGAGGGGGGTTCAAGCAGTAGCTGATTCACGGAGCGTGCACTGTGCACATTTTCGTGAATGAAAACAAATGATTGAATGCGCTCAAGAGTGAATCATGCGTGAGGTGAGGTGCTGGCAAGGCAGATTGGGGAACGAGGATCCGGGAAATAGGCTGCGACGGAGGCAAACTTAAAATGCAAGTGTGCATGGCCGAGCGGCGAATAAATATGCATAGACGTCGAGCGGAAAACAAGAGCGAGGTGGTGTATCGCTCGGCCAGCAAATTGTAAAGTGACCCAAATTTCAAACCCCCACTGAGGGCTTTTGGGGCTTTCGGGGGTTTCGGCGGGCGGCCAGGGGGGTTCGAAGTGTGCCAAAGAACGAAACGAAACTTAGCGCAGTCGCCGCACGTCACAGCAACTGAAAACTAAAAACTGAAAACGGCGAGCGGCAATCAGAAAGCTGCAAAATGCTGACAATGCAAGAAAATGCATTCGAAAAAAGGCAAGCAACGAGAGTAAAAAATGTAGTGCGCTACGTGAGCGAGTGTGCGTGCATCACTATCATGGGCATTGGTTGCCGCACAGTGGGCCTGAATCGCAGAGAGAAGCACCACTGTGCCAACCAGCTTGAGTTCGTGTTGCTGCACAGTGAATAATGAATAATGAACGCGAAATTCGCACAGTTTTGGGCAAAAGTATGACTCGACGAGCGAGACTCGTCTGATAAAGCAGCACTAAATGGCACTACAGTGGCCCATCAATGCTACTTGAAAACAATAATATCATATTTGGGAATTTTGTGTATTTACCCCAATAATAATTGATTTTTTAAGAATCTTTGAAATGAAGAAATTCATATATTCTCTTAAAAATGTAAAATATTTATGTTGATATCTTAATGCTAATCTTCCAAGAAGGCGACGGACTCATGATATTAATAATAACACTGGGTTATCCCTGTTTTTAGATTTTTGAATTAACAATGGTTTCAATTTCAAATTGTCACGTCGAGTTATCAACAATTTCCATTTCTGCAGATACTTCTAAAATAGATTAAACCTACCTACATACATATGTGTGTTTCTAATCTCTACTTCATCATTTAAAGAGATTTTGTAAACAACCGAAAAGAACTGACTGAACCGTGTTTTAAATTGCTAAATGATTATTCTATTTGGGTAACCTTTTCCATCAAGCACTATTTTATGTCCGTTGGATGGTTCTTTCGCCCAGATAATGATACAAAAAACTGGCCAACGTGCCGATACTTATGCACCGCACTGTGTACAAATGCGGATGGGGATGTTGATGTGTGTTTGTGTTTGTGGATGTGTGCGCTGCAGTCATATTTCAATTGAACATTTTAAGGGCGCAGCAGCAAGGGGAGCGAGCAGGGGAGGGGGCGGATGGGGGCCAGTGGGGGGTGAGGGGATTGGGGTTGGCATGCCCCTGGCAAAGGGGGTGGCGATATTCGACACATTGGTGCGACAAAACGGAAACCTTTAAACAAATTATGTTCTCTACTCGCATTTACCGTTGTGAAAGGGAAATGTAAACAAAGCATAAAAAGTTCGATGCTGAGAACACACACACTCACACACACAGGGGCACGCGATGGCCTATTATATAAGCGCCATTTGCATTCCAAAAAAAAATTTAAGAATGGTATTCCACGAGATGCTGCAGTGGCTAAGCAGAAAGAAAAATAAACGACACGAGACGCGCTTTCACCTTTATAATTTTTTCTTTTTCTTTTTTTAGTCAACCGGACCGGGAGAGAAAAGAGCTCTTTGTGGCGCTTTTGGATGTCGCGGGTTTTCAATTTGTCAGGGCAACGGCAACGGCGAACGGCGAACTGCAAACTGCGACGGCAAAAGCAAAAGCAATGGCAAAAGCAAACCAGCCCCAAAATGCAGTGGTGTGCGTTGGTGGCCCCTTTCGCCCGATGCGCCCCGACGCCCCCTGCCAATCGACGTCCCTGTCTCTTTTTCGCCAGTGCAGCTGGTGCTTCTTCTTACCTGGCGATGCCGCCGCTGGCACCTCCGCCACCGCCAGTGGGTCGGGTTTTCCGCTTGCTATTGTTGTTCATGTCGTCGATTGGATGGGATATGGGATTGGATCGTCGAATGCCGATTGCCAATTGCCAGGAGGCAGTAGTACCAGTCCCAGTACCAGTACCAGGAGTAGCGAAGAAGTGGCAGTCGAAACCTGGCGTTTTCTTTTCCCTGCCTGGGCTAATTATCCCGATTTACCGACTTTCCGATCGAACGATCCTCCTCCGATGGTCGCGAATGGGCGGGCGAGGCGTGGTCTAGCCAAAATATACTATTTCGGCGGCGTTTAGCACTGATACTTGGCTGCTAAATATGCTTTTGTTGCTAATTTTATTTTTTCCCTGCGTACTGTAGCGATAACGAGCAAGGTTGCTTGACGAGTTGCTGCTGTCCGCTGTCGATATTTTTTTTGCACATCCCTAGCGCTCGACGGCGTATTTGTTGGCAAACGAAAAACGGAAAACACTGCGAAACGGCCGACTAACTGCGCGGCGGGGGTGGTGAACGGTGAATTTTGTTTCGGTCAAAAACTATTTAGTTAATTTATTAACTTCAATTAGAACAGGGGTGCGTGTGTGCAGCCACAGAGTTCGGTATCGAATAGCTATCGCACCCACACTCGATATCGCGGAGCCTGCCAATTGTCTATCGATTAATTTGGTTCTAAGGCACACTTAAAACAGTGTTGGGCAGTGCTGGTGAGCGCGAATTTTGAACTATTGCTTAGATTACGCATTTTGTTTTGTTATTAAACTGCGCGATCACCCAAATATTTGCCTTGGATCTAGTTCACAAATATGGGCGGACCTATTAATAACCCTCGCTATCTTCGGTGTCTCACATAAGGTAAAAAACATCCGCATATTTACCATCTGTCCAGATAAGCGCCAGACACCTATCGACCTTGGTCGTAGAGGAACTCCTTTTCCGAGAAAGCTGGTGGCAGCTTAATCATTTCAAAGTCAGACAGTAAATCCACTCTTTTCCAGCTTATGTGCTCTTTTATAAGGTAGTAGTACCCGAGCTCCCGTATCAGATAAACTAATAACGATACAATCTCGTTTACAGCCGACCATGTCATATAAAGAAGCCGTTTATCTGCCAGGCCCACACGCCAAGTAGAGGGTCTCTGTAACGCCTGATAGAATAGTTAACACCTTCTGAAATTTCGCGGCTAAGATATGATCAACATCTGAGTCTTATAAGTACAATAACTTAAAAAAATGTATAAATTGGTTTCCATTTTGATATTTTTTATGGTGGGTACTTTAAAAGTATGCATGGTAATTTTTAAGTCTATCCTTATTAATTTCCGATCATATTTAATCTTTAAAAATCAATAATCATTTAGATTATATGTATATTAGATATTTATGTATACCAAAGATTAATATAACTTTGTAAGTGTTCGTAATTTTTTTTGCTTATTTTTGAAGGATTATGATAATTATAACATATGTATTAAGTAATTTAACAAATTTCCTTTCTATCTAGAAATCAGGCGTTCTTTGATTATTGTGATTTTCTAATATAACATATATATGTAAACGTTAAAAATAACCCTTTGGAGTAACTGTCACAAGGTGTCGCTGCTTAAGATAAGATAGGTAATTGGCTGATTTACTGAAGATCATTTGATCTGTCTAAGTCTTTATCCAAATATTGGTCCATCATTTATCAATTGAGATGCTCGGAATGCCACTTGGCCGGCAGCCAAAGGTGGAAAATTACTTCGAGTCCATTGGGATGATTCCCCCTGTGCCACTGCGCACTTGGAGTACGGGGAGTTGATAGCGATATCGCGGTAGTTTCTGTCACCGGTGCCGTTGACATTTCCAGTTATATATTCGTTTGTGCTCCAGCCGACGGATCCTCCAGCCGCCCAACCCGCCGCAATGTTTGCTCGCCCATCCGCCTGCCGAATGCGCGTTAAGTATGCCATTGTTGTGCTGATCTCGAGCTGAAAATAAAAGCGGACTGTTTGTCGCCTTTTTCTTGACTCTTTTCATTTTTCGTGTTTATCAGAAAAATCTGCCCGAGCCCACTTATTTATCATTCAAAAATTCGCCTATTCGGCAGTTTTCATTAGATTGCGGAGCGGTGCACTTGGCTCACTCAAGGGTATAGGATAATCAGTATCATCAGTGCTCCCGAATGTCCTTCAGCTAGTAACTTAAAGGCTTATGTGGATACGTGAAACATGTCAATTGTAAAGAAACTATCATTTGATGGTAAGGATAATACTTGGCTACTCATGGCCATCGTTTTTTGTGAAATGTGGAATTTATATAACAATTTATGGAGGACTAGACATTTTAACAATTACTACAGTTACCTGTCACCATTTTAGTGCAAATTCCTTGAAAATTCAGTGATTCATTGGTTCATCTCGTGATCACTTTATAATCGTTCCATTTACACTACTTCGCCGATTTTACAACCGTCATATATGCCACCCGCCGATCTACCGCTTTAATTAGCAGCGAACAACAGCTGGAAATATGCTCGACGTAAGCTGTTAAAAATTTTGGCCTATTGTTACAAATTAGCATTCATTTGGTGCTTCTGTTTTCGCCCATCATGACCGATAACACTTGTGTATAAAAATATTTAACTTGCCCAACCGTCAACCACAAATATTAACTTTTGCCGACAAAACAAAATGAAGAAATAACTCGAAAAGATTAATTTAGAGAATATTATATTTAAGCAGACTCTATTTAAAGAAGTAGTATTACAAATTAAATTGAGTTTAGAAGGGAAGTAAGTAAAAAAATAGATACATATTTTGCACATAGAAAACCTTAAGAAAAAATAGTAAGCCTTTGATGAAAGAAGAAAATAACATAATAAATGTAATATTATATATAGAAAATGTATAAAATAATTTAAATCTATAACTAAAATTGCTAGTTGCTTAGAAATATAAATTATTATTATTAATTTACTAATTAATTATTATTTTTAATAAATTATTGTTAACAATAGCATTGATAAGTTAAACCAAAAGTATGCTATTCCTTTTCAAAACCTTTGATAAAAAATACTATAATTGCTTTTACTCTATAACTAAAAATGAATGTTGTTTAGAAATAGAAAATCTATTAATAACATGCATACGACAACGACATTGATAAGTAAGACACTAAAATTTGCAATTCGTGTGAAAGGTAGCACCTATGATCAATGACTTGTACTATTAACTTAGATCTATAGGCAGAGAGATGACTAACAGTCTCCGTCTGGACCCAATACGCACTTGTACCTATCCGGATTTGTTTTCGATATGAGTAGCACTCAATGTGCTAATTTTTCGATTAACTTCCCGTGAATTTTAACTAAAAACCCTAATCACTTATTTTATTTTGACTCCACTCGGACTTTCTTTTGATAACTATATAAAAAAGTGGGTAACAAATTGATTTTAAATGGGATTTATATAAAGAGCGATTGAGGAAGATATAACAGGTTTTAGAGCTCGGCACATACATATAGAGCTCTACAATGATATGATATGAGTGTATATGACTCTCCAATAGTTCCCCCTCAATAACAGCTAAGAATCTCAGATATTTAAACAAATTACCGGACACAGTCAGAGCGAGAGTACGCAAACAAACATATGTGCTTAATAACGAATTCACACAATTAAAGTTTTGCGCTTTTTTTCGCTGTGCTGGCGGCTGAGCTCGGCAGCGAACAAGCCGGACTGTTCGTTTTTATTATTAAAATGCTAAAAAAAATCCCCCAGACAAAATCAAACAATTTCGGCTAGCAGAGCGATTGTACCTGGCCATTGGCGAAACTGAAACAGAAACCGAAAATCAGTACACAATGCGTTGGCCGCGAAAGCACACGTTCGGCTTGTGGCCCAAGGGCAGAAGTGGTCGAAATCGCCGGAATGGAGAAGTTGCCGAGCAACCCCAGGCCACAGTGGCCACCATTTACGATCGTAGGAGCTGCGACTTAGTTATTTCCGACTCCAAGGCCCACTAAGAATCGCTTTTTCGTCTCGATTTCAGCCAGCTGCGAGGAGAAGGAGAAGTACACGGCTCAAAATGACGAGGACTTCTACAGCCAGGCTCACACCGTCGACTTGGATGTGGCCAGCAAGTACTCCAAGCCGAAGGAGGCCCACTGGCTGGTGCGCCGCATCTTCTTCCTCAGCTGGATCACCAGCTACGATCGGGAGCAGGCCTTTGCGGACTTGATTGCCGGCATCACCTTGGGTCTGACCATTATTCCGCAGAGCATCGCCTATGCCGCCCTGGCCGGTCTCTCCTCCGAGTACGGTCTGTACTCCGCCTTCATTGGATCCATCATCTACGTGTTTTTCGGCACGATACCACAGGTGTCCATCGGACCCACCAGCCTGATGGCCATTCTCACCCTGCAATTCTGCGCGGACAAGCCGGTGCAGGTGGTCATAGTTCTGGCCTTCCTCGCCGGCTTGGTGGAACTGGCCATGGGAGTGTTCCAGTTGGGATTCATCGTGAGCTTCATTCCGGCTCCGGTGACGAAGGCGTTCACCTCGGGCACAGCAGTGATCGTGGTTTTCGCCCAGATAAAGAATCTTCTGGGGGTTCGCCTGAAGGGTTTCCCCTCGTTTGGAGACTTTTTCACTAACATCCGCCCAACGGATGCGGCCATGGGAATATCCTGCATGGTGGTCCTGCTTCTCTTAAGGGTAAGTAAAAAGTATAACAAAAATCATAAAGTTTTATCAAAATATAAACACTTTTAATTGGATTAGAATGATGAAAGAATAAATTAATAATAAGTTTATTAATTCAAAATACAAAACAATTTGCTTGCTACTGTATTTTTTTTTATTTTATTTTTTTTTATTTTTCCTATTCAAAGTTCTTTAAAATACTCTTACTTTAAATATAATTTTGATGGTTAAGACAACGATTAACTGACTAATTTGAGTGATCCTTTTCTTGTTCAGCTTCTATCGCAGGTGAATTTCAAGATAGACACGCCAGTCACGCGCCGTCTGAAGAAGATCCTGTGGTACATCAGCATATCGCGCAATGCTCTGGTTGTCTTCACCACCGGACTGATTGTGTTTATCTGGGTGAAGAAGAGCTCAATTGAGGCGGTGCCCTTTGCCCTTTCCGCAAAGGTTTCCTCGGCCATGCCCACGGTCAAGTTGCCGCCCTTTGCCTTCGAATACCAGAACCGCACCTATGTTTTCACGGATATCCTGCACGAACTGGGCAGCGGAATCGTTGTGGTGCCAATTGTGGCAGTACTCGCCAATGTGGCCATTGCCAAGGCCTTCGGTGCGTATGCGTAATATCGGGGTGTTCCTATGAGTTTGCCTCTATTTTTGCGTGTTTTGATTTGTTTCAGTTAAGGACGGCAATCTGGATGCCTCGCAGGAAATGCTGACCCTGGGCCTGTGCAACATAGCCGGTTCCTTCTTCAGTGCCATGCCCACCTGCGGGGCTTTCACCCGCTCAGCTGTGAGTCAAGCATCCGGAGTTCGAACGCCCATGGCCGGCATCTACACGGGATTGATAGTGCTCTCTGCACTCAGCATCCTGACCCCCTACTTCCAGTACATTCCCAAAGCTTCGCTGTCCGCCGTCCTTATAGCAGCGGTCATCTTCATGGTGGGTACTGCACTTATAAAAACAAATAGATCTAGAGTATAGATAATTGAGGTACAATATTTGTCCTTAAAGTTTATGACAATTACAACTATATTTTTCTAAACTTGAAAAACTCTAGATTATAAAATGAGCACTTAATTTTAAATTATTTTAAGGACCAAATTTTTCAAACTTGCAAAACCAATCTCTAGTTTTGTATCTGATTTTCTTTTAAACAGATTGATCTTGCTCCGGTTAAGGAGCTGTGGCAGACCAACAAGAAGGACTTCTTCAGCTGGGTGGGCAGCTTCATCATCTGTTTGGTGGCTGGCGTGGAGTTGGGCCTGCTCTTTGGAATTTTACTAAGCATGGTGTTTATTCTGCTTCGCCTGGGTAACCCCAAATTTGAGGTCACTTTGAAGCAGGTAAGGTTATCAGCACAAAACAAAACCATTTTAAATAATTATGTGAATCTTTCCCGCAGCATGAATCCACGTACTATGTCCACGTGGTGCCCCAGTCGGATGTGTACTACACCGGCGTGGATGCTCTGCGATCTGAGCTTAGGGGCGCCTGTAGCCTGTACCACAACGATTTCCCAGTGGTTCTCGATAGCGCACGCTTCATGCAGTTCGATGCCACCTTCAGCGAGATGCTGATTTCAGTGGCCAAGGAGATGGCCACCCACGATGTCCTGCTGATCCTGCAGAACATGAGCCTGAAGGTGCAGCAGATGCTGCCGGTGATGAGCAATGTGCGCTTCTGCCAGGAGGACAGCCAGCTTTCCGGCCACCTGCAGGCGGAAAAGGAGGCGCCTCTGCTGGAGGCCAAGCTGTAAGCATTCCTATCTGATGTCAGCCCTCCGTTCCAGTCTGTTTGATCCGGTTATGTCGGACGTCATAGGAATTATCTCCGGATCTACTACCGCTTGACGTTCACACGCAACTTGCACAACTTGACAGCGGCACCAGTTAGTTAACTACTTAGATTTATATGTTTAGTTAGCGTGTTTGTATATACTTATATGCATTATTAAAATATAGTTCTCTTCTACAAATATATCACATGATAGCCCAGACGAAAGTATTCTGCAAGCGGAGATAAACAGGTGCTCCAAAAAGACCATAAAGCACGCCTCGTGCCGCGACATTCAGATATATAGTCTGGCATACGTGTCGTATGAGTAATGCCATGGAACTGCGCTGAAAACTCAATTGACGCCTCATTAAATCAATTGAAATGCCGGTTGTTTTTTTTGAAATTGTTGTTTAATTATTATTTTTTCGCTTTTTTGTCGTTCAATAAGGAAATTATAATTTATAGAAAAAGTATAATAATACAGTATAACAATTTAGTTTGTTTTCATTTGTTTTGTTTATCCATTTCATATTGCATAGTACACTTTGCCATTATCATTGTTTTTTTGCCAGTGTGTTTAATGGGAATTTACGTTTTCATTTATTCTATATTGATCGCTTTGTTTCCGAGGAAATAAACTGTTGTATAGTTGTATATGTGTCTAGTAAATGATTATAGAGTGTGTCTGTGTGTCCTTCTGTCTGTATCTGTGTGTTTCCGGTCCGCCCCCGCATTCCGGATGCGATATTTGTTCCGGATGCGGCGGCTTTCCGGCTTCGGTGGACGCCGAAGTTAGGCTTGTAGATTGTAATTGTCTATCCGATGTGGCTGACTAATACAGTGACTTGATTGTAAGATTTAAATCATTTACGTGGGAAAAGTTAACGCTTGTTTCGATTTCGGTTTCAGTAAGTCCTTCTGGGTCCATCCCCTTCAACATTCCGGGCTATTTCCGATACCTAACATATATGTCTGCCCGCCTACTATTTGCCAGTTTACAATTTACAGTGTTTCCATGTGTTCTGTGTGGTAAGTGTGTGTCTAAAGTAATCATTTGCTCACAATTATTTCTTTTGCCGGCCAAGCACATGTACATATGCAACTCTATGCGCTCTTTAAATATGCCTTGTTTAATATATTTGTTTTGGTTTTGATAAATTTTGTCATTAATATATTTTATTTGTTTATCTTTATACTTTCCATTTCTTGAATGTTTGTATTTTCGTAAAGCAAGAGGTACGCGATGTATTTGTTTGTGTATGCTGAGTGTATGAAGGCTGAGTCAAAGCAATTTTCAAACATTAGGAAACAGCTTAGTACTTTCTTTTCTCGAACCGGATAAAAGCAAAGTTCCCCGAAAGAGGGAAACAGAAGTAGTCGTATGCGGCGTATGCAAGTAACTAACTATCGGTATTAGGTAGTATTAAAATAACGATCGAAAGGGTGTATTTTGATAGGTGTGGGGTAGACAGCGATGGAAAGTAGTGGCAAGTGTAAGCCGCCCCTAAGTTGATAAAGTAAGTGGGAAAGGGTCTTCTGGCTGAATTTAGTGAACATGTCTCCTGGGTCTAACGCTACGATCTTGTGCTTAGTACATTATATTTGTATTTGCCATTGGGTATCCCATATATGTATGTATGTAGGAGTGGATCTCTCTTGGTCTTTGGTTTGCTTTAAGTTACACTGATATTTATCGCATATGGCTTCTATGGACATCAAACACTGAAAGAAGTGGGGCGTAGAATAGATGTTTAAGTCGAGCAGTCGAAGGCTGGAATTGGGGTTCATAGGTGTTGGGTTTTGGGTGTTTCGGGACTTGGGATTTGGGATTTGGCTGGAACCATCACTTGGTTGGAAACGAGGGGAAAGTTCTCTTCTTGTGCTGGACTGGAAGTCAAGGTCTTGGAAGGTCTTGGAAATGCGCCCGATTGGAGGTTGGCTTGAATGCGAAATCGTATTTAGTATATGCGAATATATGTAAATATGTACCATATCGATTTATTTATTTAATTTAATGTATGCATTTTTGTTTTTTGTTCGGCGTCTTTCCGCTTGTCTGACATTGCTCAACATTCGTTTGTGTTTTGATTTATAAATGTAATTTAGTTTTCAATATACTTTAAATATATACATATAATATATGTATGTTTATGTTTATGTTCGGTTTAGTTTACCTTATGTGTTTGCTTTATCTTCTTTTTCTTCTCCTCCTCTTTTGGTTTTTATTTATAAACTGGTCAGCAACAGTAGCAAATTTAACAATGTGCGTTAACAAATAATTGTAAATATAATGTATGTATATAATATATTTCTCCTCCTTTCCTTGTATTTGTATATGTATTTTTGTATTTGTATCTGTATAATATATGTGTGTGTTCCGTATCTATGTGAGTGTGTATTGCATCTGTGTGTATGGATGTAGGTGTGGCTGCAGGTGGAGAATCCACCTGGCCTTGTATTATAGAGCTTTTCCTTTAGTGGGTAAGTGGAATCTTTATCGAGTTGCAGTCACCTAAACCGGCAGGCAATTTGTTAAATAATTTTACAAAAATTTATTTGGGCCTGTGGCTTTGTTTCTGTCCCGACTGTGCGGCCGATGCTGCTGTTGTCTGTCGGTCACTCATAATATTTCTATCAATTTAATTAATAAAAAATATTACCATTAGTACTATTAGTCATATCATATCATATCAACAACAACATATGCATTGGCCTACAGCGGACCGGGTATGGGTTTTAACTTTAGCATTGGTTTGTCTGCTTGCCTACTCCTCGTCAGTGTTTCTTTCTTCATATATATTAGCTTAGTAATCGTAATCAATAGCAATAATCATAATCATAATAGTAATAATAAGTCTAATCTACGAATAATATAACAGGACCCTATAGAATGACCGGGGTTATTTGCCAAAGCCGAACCCGAATTTTCCGAAGAGATCTTTGCCTTTCGATAGGACGTCGCCGCCGGGCGCCGCTGCCGCGATGCCCTTGAGCCCGCCCAGCAATCCGGCGCCCGGTCCTTGAGGCGGAGCCTGGGCTTGCGGTGGCACTTGTTGTGGCTGCTGCTGCTGCTGCATGCCGGGTTGCATTCCGGGTTGCATGCCGGGTTGCATTCCGGGTTGCATGCCGGACTGCATGCCGGGCTGCATTCCGGGCTGCATTCCGGGTTGCATGCCGGGTTGCATCCCCTGCTGCATGCCCATTCCGGGCTGTTGGGCACCGAAGGCGTTTGCTTGTTGCTGCGCTGGCTGCACACCGCCGGGTGGTTGCATTGGATCCGTCTTGGGCGGTTGCTTCGACCCAAATAGACCACCGGTGGCAGCCGAGGTAGCACCAGAGAGCAGGCTAGTCGCGCCGGAGAAGAGGCCGCCCGTCGGCGCCTGTGTCGTCACCGGCGGTTGCTGTTGCTGCTGCTGGCCCATCTGACCCATCTGACCCATCTGGCCCATCTGACCCATTTGGCCCATCTGCCCCATCTGTCCCATCTGCTGACCCATCATTCCAGGTTGTCCCATTTGCTGTTGTTGCTGCTGCTGCTGTCCCATCTGCGTCTGTTGCTGACCGTACTGTTGCTGCTGCTGCTGCTGTTGAAGTTGCTGCTGCTGCTGCTGTTGCTGCTGCAGGCCGACATTACCAACGCGACCGATCATCCCCTGCAAGGTGGCGTTGGTCCAAGGACCACAAAACACATGTTAGTTGGGCTTCCAATCAGGCAGTGGGCGCATTAAACGAATGGCAAACTAATTGTTAAGTATATATATGGTACGTATATTTATGGGGGTTTCTTAATATTTTCATGGAAGTCTTTCGACGCCCTCTCAAGTAAGTTAGCCGGGGATAGTTTGGTTAGTTTAGCGAGATCCTCGAGCATTTGCCGCCGAGTCACTTGAGATGGATTGGTTGTGTGTTAGTAGTAATGGCAGCTACGTTCGTTAACTACGGAAAGAGGCTAGTCAAAAACCGAACCGGACCCTCTGGGGGATCCTCGCTAGATGAAACTTAGTGTTCAGAGTGGACCCAATCAATGGACTCCAAGTCCCGCCAGCTCCGTGGGAGCGGGGGAAGCAGGAGGCTTGATTTCAGGCCTCAATTTAAATGAGTAACAGTAGCATTACGTGATTTGATTTTTATACACATCCGTTGATTAAAACAAAACAAAAAAATATGTAGAACTAGCAACGTTTCTCAATAGTTGTCAACTGAAAATTCAAAGGGCCTAAGGCCAAAGGACAACAAAAGAACTTGCATGGCAAAAAGAAAAAAAATGTTTAAAAAACTTTTAAGATACGCATTCTGACAACAGATTTCAGACAGTGCCGGAGCACTCTCGATGTCCCCGTTGTGGATCGGACTTCTATAGTTCTAAAGCTCTATTTATTTACACTACCTTGATTAGGAGTGACATGGACATCGCCTGACTTAAAAGTGGGCTGACATGTCGGAGGGCTTGTTTTGTGAGGGTGTCTAGGCAATCATTGAAATCATAAATATTCAGCGGTTTGTTATCATCCGGTATGAGTTCGTGTTGATGAACTAAACAAACCAAAATAAATTTGTTCTTTTGAGTCATTATTTGCCTATATTGTCATAGGTGTTTGATCATTGTTTAAAGCAAAAGCTAAATGCAAATCTATTCAGAAAATCATAGTTGACGAAGGTGAGCCAGAGGAAATCATATGAGGGAAATGTTGATAGTAATTTAAAGCAAATACAGTTGGGATTCAACCTAGGCGGGGAAAAGAACTAAAACGCAACTGACGAAACCAAAAACTCAAGGAATTACACATACAGTGAATCACATAGAAATTTGTACACATTACATCCAATATTCCATATAGTAGTAGTAGCAATTAATTAATATAATTAGTAGCGTATACCAGTAAGAAAACAAAAAATTTTTCATATATAGATATATATATATATATATTTATGGGTGTGTATGTATCACGTTTTATCAGCAAGACGTTTACTTGAGTGTGTATTTTGTATCTGGCATATGGTATCTGGTATTTGGAGATTCTGAGATAACGAGGTTCGGATACTGTGTGAATAGATTTGTACACATTTTTTTTTTTGATTATTATCACATTTTCCGGAATTGACTTTGGGTGCTCTCCAAGCTAATTTTAAAGCAAGTATATCTAGCACAATTCGAATTCAAATGCCATCCCGCAAAAAATAATGCTGCTTAAAGCATTTATACATTTCACATATGTTAAGATATGTGGCTCATCCAATTGTGTTTATGATCATGTTTTTATAACTGTAAGAAAAAACAATTTGTAATGCAGTCTTTTAATGCAGTTTCTAAATCACCCTCTCATTAGCTCAGAGTGAACCTATTCTGCCACTTTTTGAGGCTTTATTTATTTGCTGAAAAGATTAGGAAGTCTGTAAGCTGAGAAGGTATTGAACAAAAAACCAAAAAAAATCTTAACATAAATGAAGAAGCAGTGAAATATTGAGTTGAACAAATGATATTTGAAATGTATGTAAAACAAGTGAATAAAAAACTTAAGAGAAAACGATTTGAATGATTGTTGCTGTGGAAATTGTTGCTGATATTTGTTAAAGATCCTTGACAGATTTTATATACAGTCTATACACATATACACGATCTGTTTGTTTAGCTTTATTCTGAGTTTCTTTTCAATAATAACACCAACGTGAAGTGCGGTATTTGCAGGCTATGAATGCTCAACGATCTTGGGATATATTTTTACACGGACGAGCCTGTTGCTTATTCGTTTTAATGTTTGTATTTATAATGTCGTTATTGTCTTTGGATGTTAACTACAAGATAAACATGTTGCTAGCTATACATATGTACGATATAAATATATATATATATATATAGGTATATATAAATCGGTTGATTGGTATCGTTAATTGGAATTTTCATGTACTGTACTGTAAGCGTTTGAATCAGTTTTTGAATGGGGATACAAATAGACATAGTGAGATAGGTAGTAGCTATAGACATAGAAAGAGAAAAGAGGACGGAACAATGGACGATCGAGTCTAGAAATGGCGAGTGTGAAAGAGTCCGCACAACACAGCTGGCGCGTGTGCAGGAAAGCGATAGCAGTATGTCATAGGAAAGAGATGACGTGTCCCTCTTTTGTCTGAGTGTCGGGATAATACGTTGTTTCCGGGGCTTACTAATTTGTTTTTTGGCTTGCCCGAGAATCGGAACCGAAAAGTAATGAGTGACAGAGATAGTAAGTGAAGGCATAGGTACAGGTAAAGGTACAGTTAGAGGTAGAGGTATAGGAATGGGTAACTGTTGTTGTAGTTGTAACTGTTGTAGCAATAATAATATGGTAGTAGTAGTAGGTTGCATCTTTTTTTAGGTATTAGGTGAACAGTTGTGGTAACATTTGGCGTATTCTTAACTCTTTTTTTTTTTAGATTAGCTTTAGCACTTATTTTCACAAACAAACAAATGAAAATATTGTATATCTTTTCTTTTTTTTTCATACGTTCGATATATCAAAACAAAAGGAAACAAAAGAGAAAGAGTATTTACCTGCGTTTGGTGATCGGGGGCAGGATGGCCCGTGTTGTCTAACAGTGTAGGGGAAGCAGGGCGAGCATCTATAGCAACGAATATAACATAAAGACTTCACATTTACCACAGCAGACCATTACAAAAAATTATTTGAAAGAAGTTGTAGTAGTCAAAACGAAAAAGATCGTAATTTAAACTTAGGTCAAACTTAGGCATCGAAAACAAATCAAAACCAATTGAATTATTGAATTTAGTCGCGTTTTATCTTCAGATAGTTCGGAGCTGCCTGTTCGAAAACTGTGATTAATGTTGATTGGAAAGAATGGATATATATTTACTCATCTTCGCACGGGTGGGGTTAATCAAATAATCGTTGTTCTATATAATTCACCGCAGTTCACGAACAAATCAATGGACAACTCAAAATAAAAGGGTTAAATAAAACTAGTCCATAGACCCAAGGGTCTCACATCACTTCCAAATTTAGTACGGGCTTATTGAAAATGTTCTGTTTAAATTTGATTTGCGCAAAGACATAATTGAAACGAGAGGAAAAGGCGCCAAAAGGAATCAGATCGAATCGGATTAAAAAAAGTGAGAGAGATAGAGAGTTTAGTTAAATGGTAGCATTTGATTTGATTGTGATTATTGGTCCAGACGTAAGTAGATTAAAACTGTATTAAATATTACCTTCTTATATAGCCCTATTTTTCCCCCGATTGGGGGCTTCATGGAGTTTCTGAATTATATTCAGATTTCGGTTCTTTGGTTGCATTTGCTCAAGTTTTTGTATGCAGTTTACAAAGTATTTTATATATATATATATATATATAGAGGTTATATAGCATTTGGACGGGCACTTAATCGGCTTATACATATGACGTTTGATATAAGTAGTTATATGGAAATAAGTAGTTAAAAGTTAAGTTAAGTATTTTACAATATAAAATGTACATTAAATACAAAACACTGCTCGTATTTATTTAAGAATTAATATATTTTGGATTTGGTGCTTGGAGCCCTTGCTGATGCTGTTGTTGTTTTTGTTGTTATATCTTGAACAAAAATGAACATATATCAAATATATATCGAAGAAGCTAATTGGCAAACAAACAAGACCAACATTCAGAAAACCAGAAGGAAAGAAGTCAACGAAAAACAAACAGAAAATCCAAAATCAACGAGAGGAAACAACGCTAAAAGAAATATTTGATTCGAAAAGCAGATACTCGTACTCGTTGAACGTTATAGGGGATATATGGGGGATTCGGGTATCCGGGACTCAAGAGGTTCATAAGTACCATACTGCTGTACTCGTAGTTCCCTACTTCGATCGGATATGTCCTGCCACTGGCCACCACTAATCTCTGGCTTCGACTCCATCAGTGACCATCAGTGAATCAAGGCATTCTGGGTGACTTTTCACATTAGCACTACTTCTTCTTCGGTTCAAGGCACATTCAGATTTGGCTTGTGAACTATGGCACGGTGGTGATCAACTAGGCAGTCAATATCAATTCATTCGGCAATCAGGTGCAAGTAATTCGTATCGTTAAGGCAAACCATTGCTTCAATACTAAAAACCAAATGAAATCAAGTGAACCAAAAAAATCGAACTATTTTCAAATGTTTTTTAGTTGAATATCATGCAAGAGACCATCTATAATGTTACACGTATAGAAAAAGGCACGCAATACAAGAGAGAGAGAGACAGGATACCAAAATTAAGTAGAAAATTAAACAGAACATTGGTACAGAACAAGTTAAAGGAAGCTAAGTGAAGAGTTATATACAAAGGTAGGGCGGTATATGAAATGAGCATGATGTTATGGCCACGATATCTTCAAAAGATATCATCACTTTGGGATGTTAGATGATTGATCAACGGGTATGCATATACTGGGGGAAATATGTTATATTGTGTGTGTACAACAACAAGAACAACAACTATCTATTGTATATTTTTATTGGATTAGAAATATATCATTGGAATCCAAACAAAAATCGTAAAAAACAAGAAGAAAATATTTATTTATATAAAGTTGGAAAGATCGAACTGATTGGTGCTGAAAATTATTTAATTTGTACATTAACAAAAATCGCATTAAATATTTAGAACAAATTTGGGAGAAAAAAGTTGTACAAAAGATCGCTCGGAATCGTAATGAAAATCAAATTAGCGGCGTTCAAAATTAGAATTTGTTTTCAATTTGTAACTGTTTTGTTTCACTTGAAATTTTTGCGATAGAGAGTTAAGACAGAAAGAGAGAAGGAGTGAAAATATTCTCTGTGTTCGCTGATTTGTAATATATATCGTTTGGTAAACATAAACGAAAACAAAACAAACATTGGGGTATCGGAACAGAAATGGATTGCTATAGTATAGTATATATTATCCCGCTGGTGGAATTGTTTATGTAGTCTGGAAGAACCTGCATAGTTATTCATCATCTTATAAAGTGCTTTCGAGATTAAAGTACATGTTTTGTATTATTTTGTAGTATTGGCTTTCAAGTTTTTTGAAAACGAATCAACCGAAAAGGAACCGAAAACGTGAAAAAGAAACTCATGTAAGCCCGTAATAGTTTTTCGAATCGGTTTTCAGTATCACTGATTACTGATCACTGGTTAATTCGTATTCAATTCAAACAAAAAAGAACTCAAGAGAACGAAAACGTAAAATGCGAAAGTCCACTGGCATTTCGGTCTGCACAAAGCCTACTTACTTTTGCCCGGCTGGCCGCGACCGCCCATTCCGGGCATCATGTTGTCTCGTGGCGGGGGCGGCGGACCCCTCGCTCCTGGCCCCTGACCCCTGCCCCTCTGGCTCAGCCCGCCGCGGCCGGCCACTCCGCCTGGACCCATCTGGTTGTTGTACTGGTCGGGTGCGTCCGCCAAAAAGTTTGACGGCACCAGGCCGCGCACGCCGTCCAGCTCGCCCATGTAGAAACCGTCTTCATCCATATCACCATAAACGAGTATGATTTCGCCCGTCTTGAAACACAATTCCACCTGCTGCAATTGGGAAAGAAGGTTCGGTTGTTAATAATTATTTAAGACTTTTTTGTAATCGTTAGATTGTCAATTAAAGCAAAACTACTTTGAATTCATAAAAAATATCTTATAACGTTTAATTAAGAATCATAATTAGGTATCTTTTCTCAAGCTTTTTAGATATTTACTTAAGCTAGGCTAAGTATGTCATATCATAGGGTGTCTCAGCACTTATAGCTGTAGATGCTAGATAGTATTTTTAAAACCATTAAAAACCGTGTAGGTATTTTTTCATTTTAATCATAAACAAAATGGAACGCTATAGGCATAACTAGCATCTAAATCCCAAATCATTAGCTTATATAGTTTTAGAGATATCGACGTTCATATGGACAGGCGGACATGGCTAGATCGATTCGGCTATTTATCCTGATAAAAAATATAAATAATTTCCTCTACCTGTTACATAATTTTTAACAAATGCAATACACAATTAAACTCTGAGAGTATGGGGTATACAAATTACGCATACGCAATGTGAGCTCATTTGGGTGAAGTCAAACTAAATTTCGGGATTCACTCTACTGATTAATAAGATGATAAGCTTCAGTGGCATTAAATGCTTTTAGCAATAGTTTTCTTCTCAGTTTCTTGAGCTCTTACTATAGTCACTGACTCACTTCACTCGCCACAGCGGCTACAATATCTTGTTTGAAGCCCGGCATAATGCTGCCAAATAGACCACCCATGAGACCACTTCCCGCCTGACTTTCCCGGCGCTAGAGAAGGCAAACCGTAAGGAAAAACTGGATAACGATCAAAGGACTAGACTTACCTCGGCATCCACATTGGGACTCAACTCCTGGGGATCGTAGTCGTAGAGCGCGATCATCCGCTTCACCGGCATATTGGCATAGATATCGCCCCAGCGGTCGCGGCTCACGTTGCGCATGCTTTGCTGCGGAACACCCTGGCCGGGCATCACCTGGGCGGTACCGCCCACGCCCACGCCCGCTCCTACTCCCTGACCTTGACCTTGACCCTGGCCCATTTGGCCGGCCATCTGGCCACCGGCCGTCATGGAGGCGGTCGTGTCCTCCACCTCGGAGACCATATTGTGCGGCACATAGCCCCTGCGACCACGCAGCTCGCCCCAGTAGAAGCCATCCGCGTCCTTATCACCAAATACCTAAAGTTGAACAATAGAGATTGAAGGGGAGTTCCCAAAGAATGCACTCATTAGCAATGACCAAACGACAATCCGAAAGTGGTGATTATTGTAGTTGTTATGTGTGTTGAGTGCATAACACTAACTTAACGAGTATTTATGGAACTATTAGAAGAGAGAACAACGTCTACATAGTGAATTATAGAGTACTGTTTGGTTAGATAGTTGTGCGTTTGGTCAGTTCGGTGGGAGGGAGGGGTGGTGACTTGGTAAGGTAAATCTCAACGAATCTGATTCTGATGTGGTACTGGGTGTGAAGAGTTCGGGGCGAAGGAAAAACATGCACTGATTCAATCAATTAGCGCAACAAGCAAGCGCAGCCAATTCTGGACATAGATCGGTCGCCATAGCATCCAATTTGCACCATCGATTGGGTTTGCGGATCGGATCGGAACGGTTGGTGGGGGGTAGGGGGCTCACCACGGCTGGTTGCTCTGAGTCTGGGAGACTGAGGCTGCTGGAACTGCGGCTGCAAAGTGTCTTGGTGGTTCTGTGTGGACTGGGTGTGTTGGGGATCTGCGGGCTTACCTTGATCGTGTCGCCCTCCTGGAAGGGCAACTCTTCGTCGCAGCCATCGGGATTGGGACTCATCGTGGATGGGTCGTAGTCGAACATGGCCACGAAGTAGCGTGGTTTCTTCTGGGCCCCGGGCATCTGGCCCGCTTGTCCCGGCTGTCCGGGTTGTGTCTGCTGTTGTCCTGGCTGCTGGCCGGGCATCATCTGGCCCTGTTGCATCTGCTGCTGCTGTTGCTGCTGCTGGTTGAGCGGTCCTCGTGGTCCCATCATCTGGCCAGGCATTTGACCGGGCAAATGTCCTGGCATTTGACCGGGCATCTGTCCCGGCATTTGACCGGGCATCTGTCCTGGCATTTGACCAGGCATTTGTCCAGGCATCTGACCCGGCATTTGACCCGGCATTTGACCCGGCATTTGACCCGGCATTTGCCCAGCCATTTGACCCTGCATATTCAGCTGGCCCGGAACTGGTCCTCGAAAGCGTGGCCCGCCCATGGGACCCTGTTGTCCGTAAGGCTGTTGCTGCTGCTGTTGCTGCTGCTGCTGTGGTCCCTGCGCCCTTCCCGGAATCGGAACCATGCCCCGCTGCGCTCCTGGTGCCCCTGGCTGGTAGCCCTGGGTGCGTCGACGATCGCAGGAATTTAAATCAATTTAAATGAATTTAAAATTTTGTTAGCGTCATTATTTTTGGACTCTTTTTTGGGGTGTGGCAATTATTAATTTGTACTCTGTTTTTCATTCACATTGTCTTTAGAGAGGTTTTCGTTTAGCAAAGTGGCGGCGGCGTCTGCGTTTAGCTGGTTTGCTTTAGCGTTTTCTCTTTAGACAACTAAGGAAGTAAAGTACGAAAGCTGTATGTGTGTGTGTGTGTATGTGTATGTCTATGTTTAGTGTATGTTAATGGAGCATTACGAGCTATGGTAAATACATTTAGGAACTGAACTGAAGAGCCAAAGATCTATAGCTGATAGTCGAGTACGAAGCTATACGAGTATGTACTGAGGGGTTAGGATGTTATCGGAAGTAAGAAAGCACGGATTCGAGTCTGGAGTTCTCTGTGGGTGGAATCTGTGTGGGTGTGTACACATGTTTCTAGCATTAACTGCGCATTTACATACGTATTTACATATGTATAGTTAGTACGGTATTTTACATAGATCAAGATTAGATTTACGGATAATAAAGCAGTATTAGATGTAGTTAGCACTTGGACAGATAGTCGACAAGGATTTGCAAATGTTTGTATCTGCACCGTGTCTAAGGGCCTTTGAAAGTTTTTCGATCTTTCTAAAATTACTCAATGTAAGTCCAGAGATAGTCATGCAAGTTATACCTTTAATTAATTAAATCTTTTCCAATCTTTCAGACTTTTTGAATACTTACAGACCAGCCAAAATATTCAAATTTGTTCCCTAGAGGCATATACTTATGTATTTACTAATAAAATCAAACGAAAAAAACTACAAACAACTGAAACCAAACCAAAGACATCGTTTTTCTTCAATTTACAAGCTCAATTAGCCAGTTTTCAGCTATCAGTCTAAGCGCAATTTTCGGCTAAGCTAACCAAAGAAATAGGCATCGAGCACTTAAGGTATGTCTAAAATCTAGATACTTGTACGCAAAGTGTTACAGATACTTAAGACTAGTGTGGTGTGGCGAGGTGTGTGTAATATGCGAGAGATGTTGTGGGTAAAACTTACATTCTGGTTCACTTGAGTCTGTGTGGGTTTCGAGAAGAGGCCACCGAGCAGGCCACCTAACAAGCCGGAGCCTCCGTCGGGCTGTTTGTCGGTATCGAAGTATCGAGGTATCGAGGTGTACGGGTTCGATTTCAGTTTTCAGTTTTGGTTTCATATAATGAAAATGAATATGTACTTGTTTTGTTTAAAATTGTTCGTTGCATTGCGTTTTCCTTAAGACAATTGTCGGCATTTCCGCTCAATACTTAGTTAGACCTCTAGTTTAAATCTGAACAACTCAACATAGTTCAAAATCTTAGATATATTTTATTGTTATTTGGAAGTTGCAATTTGCTGCTGCAGTTTAAGACATGCTAATTGTGAACTATACTCGAACGAACTGAAAACCCAAAAACCGAAGTAACTCATAAGGTTCTAGCAAAAGTGGCATACTCTGGCATATCTCTTCAAACCGAAAAAAAGAAAGGTAAACTAAATTATAACAAACGAAATAGGAGTAACTTTACATACATACAAGTTCTTTGGGTGGGAGAAGGTCTCAATTCAATTGCTTTGGTTCTTATCACAAAGATCGGGGACTAAACTGTCTCGCAGCTCTTTGACATGTGAAATTTGTGTGAATTTTGTGCGATTGTCTTAACAATTTCTCTCAGTGTATGTATATAATAGGTTCATTTGCAAAACAAATCGACCGAAAGTAGTAGGAAAGTATATGAAAATAAAGGCAGTCCAAAAGATATAGGAGGATAAACAGAGAGAGAGAAAGTTATAAGGAAAATGTAGATGTTAAAACAAATAAAGATCAACATTAAACTCTTAAAAAGATATATACATGTGGGAAGTTCACAAAAGAATCGATGCAATGGAGTATTTATATGGGGGATAAGTGATCTTGGGAGCTCTGATTCAATCATTTTAAAGATGGTGCGCGGGTTTTACAAGCAATGGATTTCATTTGTTTGAATAGCAATCAGGTTGGGAGAGTATGTCGAAGATTTCATGAGAATATCTTATGTACACTCTTCGATGGTGTGTGGGCTTCGAGGTATAGATAAAACAGAATTTAGAAGAGTTCTTAACCAATTGCTTCGAAATGATCAAACGAAACGAGTTCACAGAACGTTATTTACAGTGTACGCGTGGGCGGACTCCAAGGCGTCGCACCTTCGCCGGACACTCACCTGGTGGCCCGGCTGACCCGGCTGCGGCTGCATGCCCTGCTGCTGCATCTGGTTGGGATCGTACTGGCCGTGATCCTGCTGCCCCATCATGTGCTGCCCCGGCTGACCTTGCTGACCCGGCTGGCCGGGCATCCCGCCCATCTGCTGCTGCATCCCGTGCGGTCCCTGCGGCAGTTGCGGACCCATGCCCATGCCCATCTGGTTGGGAACCCTTCGGGCAACGGCATTGCGCACAGTATCTGCGGAGGCACAGGGAAAATATGTAATTTATGTAATTTTAAGTCAATTAGAAAGTAAATCATATTTGTTCTAATTTCTACTGAAGTTTTATTTTGTTTCATTTTTTGACTGCCTATTATGTGGATCAAATAAGATTAAGTTTAACGCAAGTCTTCACAGAACAGTTTTAGTTATCTAAGGGAATGTTTCTCAAAATTTTTTAAGCAATAATTTCTACTACACATATACTCTATACTTCTCTTTTAATTTCTTATCTGGAATAGTTTCATTAAACTAAGCGAATTTTTCTCATAATTTTGTAAGCTGTATGGCAAACTTTCTATAATCTATACATTCTTGTCTTTCAATATAAATATAATAAAAGATTAATTGCCTTTATAAAGAGTGCATGTTATTAATAATTAATTAATTTAATTCCTAAAATAATCAATTAAATCTACTGACAGCAAATGAATAAATATTACAAATAACTTATCAATTAAATTATTTTTAGCAAACTGAACGGAATAAGCAAGCAAGTTAAATTCTAATGTTTTTACGAATTTGTACGAAATTGTATGAAGTTCTCTATCATTAATCAAATTTTATACTAAATTCTGCACTTACTGGGTATCAAGATGGGCGCGCTGTCCGCCGACTGGGAATCGCGTGACTTGGTGCGGATGGTGACGGCGCGCGGATTGAAGACGCCCAGCTTGCCGATGTCGATGAGGGCGTGGTCGCCGGTGGGCGAGTTGATGTCGGTGACCTTCTTACCATCGGCGTACACAGCGTAGCCGGTTACAGGCCCCGTCGAGGTGGGCCTGTTAACCGGCTGCCATGTCACCAGAATGGTACCGTCCTGCGGGCCGGCCTCGAGCTGGATCTCCTGCGGCGGATCGGGCAGTCCCTTAGTGAGGGTGCGGAAGTCGGCGTACGCCCCGGGCGCCTCCTCCTGTCCCGGCCTGCCGGCAATGCCGGGCTGGCCCACGTTGGCCGCATGCTGGCCCACGGCCCGCAGGTGTTTGGCCCGCACCGTCACCCGGTACTGGGTGCTCGGCGCCAGGCCGGTGATCGTGTGCCTATACATGCCCGGCTTGACGGTGCGCACCTCCACATTGTTCACACACACCACGTGCTGGTGGTTCGAGTTGGCCGGCAGCCACGAGATGACCGCCGAGGAACACGTTATGTGCGAGGCGCGCACCGCCGAGGGGCCCAGGTGGGCGGTGTCCCGCCCGATGATCATCGTGCAGGCGGCGTCCCTCGAGGTCTGCCGGTTCTGGGTGACACTCCGCACGCTGATGCGATGCGGCTGCAGGTAAGACACAATAGTGTTAGTAAGCTCAAATAAATGGAGAAAAGAGCTAGTGACAAAAGGCCCTATAAAATCAAGAATAAAATAAAGTTCTTCTTTCAATAATCATTTGATTTCGACATAGTTTGCCGATTTTGATGGTCTTTTTAAGTTCAGACATATTCACAAAAACTTGTGAGAAATATTCGGGACCAACTTGGACTAATTTAGGGCAATATTTCTAGTGACAAGTACCAAAAAAGGAAAAAATTTGATAAATAATATTTAAACTTATTACAAAATTAGAAAAAAGTGAATTATAGAAAAAATTAATATGTGAAAAGATTGAGTTCATTTGGGTTTACTATAAAAGTAATTTAATAAAATTAGAAGGGAACAACTTTATGAAAAAAGATGTGAAAGATATGAAGTAAGTAGTAACATGCAAAAATTAGGGAATGTGTGAAAAATGTATTTAAATCCGAATAAATCGTCTAAAAACAAAATGCTGACATTTTGTTCAAAGACGGTTTATTCGCAATCAAACGATCCTCAGGCTTAGAGACAGACTTAAGAATGCCACTGATGCAACAACCCTATTCTTGATTTTACAGCCGACTTCTGCTCCAGGTTAGGATGCGGATCTCACCCGCGTGGAGTCCACGCCCTCGATTAGCGCGCGTGTGCGTTCGTTGGCCTTCACGGTGACCTTGAGCACGCCGTCCACGTAGACGTGGTAGCTGTCGATGAGGTTGTAGCCCACTGGCTCCGGCGGCGACCAGCCAATGAGCACGCTCTTGTTCAGCTGCCGTTCCAGCGTCAAGTGCTTGGGTGCTGGAACTGCGGGGAGGAGCAAGAAGTGTGTCATTAGCCAGCTGAGATTGACCCAGGGACGCGTGTCTAAGCGGACTACTAGCAAAGCCTCTACGGCGGATTAAAGTCGGGGTTCGAGATCGAGGGGATCTAGGGTTATGCTCACATATTCATGCCATGCACGGCGACGCGTTCGAAGATCGCCACAAAAACCAAAAGATTAAACTTGACAGGACGGAAAGGGGGACCGGGAATAGTTACCATTGTCGCTGATGTCGTCCTGGTCGTGCTCCAGATCGGTGTGCGTCTCACTCAAACGAGCCAGGTCCTCGTGGGTGTGTGTGAGCAATGGATTGTGCGGCGGCAAGGAGGGCAGCGATGTGGTGTCGCACTGCAGCGACCCGGATCCGTCCTCGGCATCGCGCAGCGTCGACAGCACCGCCTGGTGGAACTCCAGGAGGTCGTCGCCTAGCAAGTACAGAGGAGTGGGTTAATAGCGGGCTCTAAGTGAGAAGTACCCAGATCGGGAGTGGTGTCTTTGAATGGTCAGTAGGCTAGTGGGCCACCCACCTACTAAGCGCTGCACAAAGGACGCCGGCACCAGGCCGCGTCGTCCGTCCAGCAGCTCCGCATCCAGGTAGCCACCTTGGGGCTCCCCGCTGGTCCACACCAGCAGATAGTCGCCGGCGCACAGGGAGAGCTCGCCCTCAGCCTCCCTGCAAGGCATGGAAAGGAATTCATTATGAACACTGTAAATGACAAGAGTTAATCTGGGATGTTCTTGAAGTTGATTCGGTGTATCATACAACCATTGGGAAGATCGTTTGGGGGATACGCACAAGGAAAATCGTTAAGTTATTGTAGTTTAAGTAAAAGGATTTTACCCAAAAAAATGAATTCTATAGTTGTTACAAAATTGTTATAACTGTTATCAAATTGAAATTCTTATTTTAATACCCTTTAATACCAATAGAACTTCTTCAACTTATAAAGACTTTAAAATACAAAAGTTCAAGCTATAAACTAGTTAATTTTTCCATTTACAAATGTTGGATATATAAGATTAAAAAGTCGAGTATGTAAAAATAAATTACGCATTCTACTAGTTGATCGATAAGACTAAAAAGAAATCACGTATACGACTGGTTAAATAACTTGCCAAAATATTTGAAATAAATTGTTGCATACTTTTAAGATGGTAAATTAGACGTCATATTAAAGTGGTTTTATCGATTAAAGTTATTCGGTTGAGTATAATCAAATAGAATTTCAGTCTGAGAACCTGAATATTTTTAATTATTATTAAAGAAAATAATAATAGGTTAGCATAACACTACAAAAAATATATTATGTCTAAAATGACTTTCATGACTTTATGCAATGGGGAAATGGCTATAAATATTATTTTTTAAACATCCCTTGATACTTACTCTGGAGGATCGTAGGGAAAGCGGGCTATGAACACGCAGCAGCGGCCTTTTCCAGGAATATCCAGCATGTCCACCTGCGGTTCGCTGGCGCCATTCAAGCCATGATTGCGTGCTGTTCACAGAAAACGTTGTTAGTATTTCAATTAAGAACTAGCGATCAACTAAACTCACTGTCCAAATCAAGAGCACCCAGTGCCAGACCGCCGCGGTTGTGCATCATGGAGACGCTGAGGCCGTCGGTGAACTCGTCCAGTCCCCAGTTGCTGGGCGGTATAGGTGAGCAGGGCGAGCTGCGGTTGTACCGCGTCAGCGGAATGTCGATCTCGTCCAGCATCTTCATCTTCGAGGCCTGTCGCAGGGCGGCGGCCGTGAACGGATACGAGGCGCTCGAGGCGACGTCCAGGAAGGGCGGGCCATAGGAGCTGCCCAGTCCACCGGCCGTCCCGCCACCGCCGCTCAATCCGTACAGCGAGGTGGCTCCGGTGATGCCGCCCACGCCGGGTCCCACGCCCAGGCCGCTCAGACCGGCGGCTCCCAGCAGGGCGCCGGTGTCCAGCAGGCCCAGGTTGGCCATGGAGGGGTGCGTCAGCGAGGAGCCGCCGCCGGCGCCCAAGGCCGAGTAGCTGGTCGAGCCGGCGGGCGGCAGGTTATGCGAGTTGAGTGACAGGAGGGGCATGGTTGTGCTCTGCAAATTGTACAGTTGTATTGTTCCGCGCTTCACGATTCAATTCGATACGAATTTAATTCCGTTTCAATTTCAGTGGCCGTTTGTGTGTTGTTTTTTTTTTTGTATATGTGTGCAATTTGGAATTTTCGGTTTGGTTTTTTTAGAATTTACAGTTATTATTTGTGGTGTATTTTAATTTTTGTACAGGTGTCGTTACACAAACATAGGATTTCACGCACACACACAGATACAGATGCAGACATACATATATATAGATCGATTGATTGACATTTTTCAGATCATAATCGGAGTTATGGCCCAGGGAAAAGAGATCGAGTCATCATTAAGTGCGGATAATAGAGAGCGAGAGAGAGAGAGAGAGAAAGGGAAGACAGAGAAAGCACATAAAACGGAAAGAGAGATCACAGATACACGTTTATTCGACTGCGATTGGCAAACGCATCTAGTAGAACGTCTTAAATGGGCATCTATGCATGAACAACTGAACATTTTGGTGGTGATTCTCGGCTGGTCATGAGTTTTTGGCTATGGTTTCTGCAATGAACTTAAGCCGTTTCCAAGCGAAGTTTCATGGTTGTGCCGCACGGCTAGCATCCAATCATCACCATCAAAAAACGTTAATCAACAAGTAACGGAAAGCTTTCAAATGTAACTCCTTCAAAACAAATATACTTAGTATGCATGTTTGTATGTCTGTAAATGCAGCAGATGCATGTGTACCCGCAGTTTAATATTTCATGAACTTTCAAATTCCGATTACATATTTAGCCATTACTAACTATTACAATCAGTTTTTAAATTCGAGTTCAAAAGATATTAAAAGAGTATCTGAGCTTTGTTATAAGTACAAGGCTAATTGTACATGGGAGATATATTCATGGGATATATAAACGACATTAAGGACATTTTAAAACTATCCTTTATGTCTTATTACAATGCAAGTGATTGAGGGACTTATGTGATGAAATTTCTACCATGCCAGCGAATGCGATTTAAATTATACAAAGGCATTATTCAAAGGAAATCGGATGCAGAAACAGAAACAGATACAGATACGCAAACGATCTAGTCTGAAATGGGTGAGTGTGATGTCGTGTCATGTGGTGGTTGGTGGGTGGCTTACAAGTGGGTGGCTCTGTACGTAAATGTTTATTTTCATCAGTAATGAGACTACAACCAAAACGCAATACGTGAGCTTTGCACAGATGGCTGGCGGCTGCCGCAGCGACGATCAACGAACTATATGCTATGCTATATGGATACTTAAACGGAATGAATTTACATATAACATATAACGCATTGCAATTGCACTGGCACTAGCTAGATGTGGCAAGCTTGAAAGCATATCGATCGGCAGCGGTAATAGCTGTAATTGCTGTTGTTCGTAGTTCATTGCGATTGAAAATAGCTGGTTTACCTGACTTAATGCCGTCGGCATAGCCTTCATCGTGTGAATATTTACCGGCAAGGGTGGAATGCCAGTGATTCCACTAGTTCCGCTCAGCAGCTTCTCTACGGACGTCTGTCCGGTTCCGTACTGCATCGCCTGAATGGCATGACTGCTCAGGCTCGAGGATATGCCGCTGATTGAGTTGGGCACCAGGGCCGATATGGATGACAGGCCGCCGACTCCGCCGCCCCCGCCCCCACCACCGGCCATGCCGCCCGTACCAGCGGCGGCAGCAGCGGCGGCCACGCTGTGCGAGCCGAGGCTGGTGCCGCTCAGGCTGGTGCTGGCCCCTCCGTTGGGCAGCGTGGAGGCCAGCGAATGCGGCAGGCTCGAGTAGCCGGAGGACAGGGCCGAAATGCCGCCCCCGCCCCCGCCACCGACACCGCCCCCGCCACCGCCACCGCCACCGCCTAGAACGGCCCTTTTGTAACGGTTCAGTTCTTCTTCGAGTTCTGCAATTTACCCATCTTAGTTAACTGCCCAAGCAAAGGCTTTGTCGCTGCAGTACTCACCACTCTTTGATATGGTTTTAAATTCGCTATTTACCGTGCTCAACATGGAACTGGGCGGAACTGACATGCTGGCGCTGGCTGACGTACGAGGCTGTTCCAGCTCGGCCAGCACGCGATTATCCTGCAACAAAAAAGGATTAAAAGGGTTTCAGTATATATGTAAAGAAACTATAGCCAACCCCACCAAGTATATAGCTCTTAAATCATCCTCACATTCTTAGAAAATTTCCAAATTAATTTCCAGTAAACCAAAAAAGGTGTATATGTATAAAACTATAAGTAGCTTCAAAAACCTAAATCTAAATATAATACTAAGCTACTCTATGAGCTGAAGGCCTCTAGCAGCTGTAGCTCTGACCATTTTTTGTTAGCTCTTAATTTTTATTTATAAGTAAGCATTATATAAATAAATATATAAAATAAGATGTATGCTTTTAAACTTCATCAGCACTGCGTTCGAAGAAATTAAACGTTAAATGTTATTTACTTATTCTTATTCATGTTTATAAAAAATCTACTTAAACTAATTAGTATTACTATAAGTGACATTCCTTTAAGTGAATATTTCCAAAACTGAATCCCAGAAGGCATTTGCACAGTTGTGCTTGACACTTTCCTCAACTTGCCTTGACAAGTGCCAAGTGCATGGAAAAGATTTTTACTCGGAAACAAAAATTCCAAATTGAACGTTAGCGATCCAAACAGCCCGAACGATCGGATTGTAAGGATGGACGGTCTGAAGTTCTCCACACCCGGTGGCGTTTTAATCAATGGGGCCAAGCACATGACAGAAAATCTAGGAGAGCTGGAGATAAGGACCGACGAGCTGCTGAACGAAGCGGAGCATGTGAACCAGGATTTGGCCAACTGCCGAATGTTCCGCGAAGAGCAGCTGCTGAAGCATCTGGCGACGAACAACAGCGACGAGGAGCAGATGGAGATGCTGCGCGACAATATGGAGCTGAAAGTGACCGCCGAGGAGTTCCACCAGGGTATCGAGCTGATCATGGACAAGTACCGGCAGCACTGCGAGGGCGACATGTTCGTCGATAGCTATCAGCTGAGGGAGCGCTACATGGCCCGGCTGGAGCAGGTCGTCAAGGAGCAGGACGCCCGGATCGAGCACATGGTGGAGGTGATCAAGCTAACCGCCGAGCTGGAAGATCGCTCCAGTGACGAAAACCAGGGCATTATACGCCAGTTAATCGGCGAAAATGAGCAGATGCGACGTCAGCTGCAGATCAGTAGCGCCGATCAGATCTTCCACCAGGGATCTCTCGGTTCCAGCGAGAGCAGCACCCAGATCGAGCTAAGCGCGTCCACTGATCCCGACGCCTCCGGCACGAACAGCATCAGCAGTCTGGAGAGCTTTCTATCATGCCTCTCGCCGGTCAACATGGATGATGACGATTGCTCCTCCAGCAGCTCGTTGGTGAGTCAGCTGGAGGTTAACCGCTTCATCGAGGAAGCTCTGGCCGAGGATCCCATGGAGCTGCCGCCCATTCAGGCGGAAAAGGCAGAATAGGGATACCAAACTTGCACACCCAACACCTAACACAAACATTAAATATTGGCACTTGCGTTGATTTACATAGTCTTGACGTTGGACCCTCACCTTTGAAATAAATTATAGTTCGGGATGGGAACTCACTTTTAATTTAGATATCTTTAGTGAATTCCCCATCCGAAATATAATTTATTCAACACCACACTTTCTGTATGATGTTTTCCCACTGTTACCTGTTGCTGTTTGTCACTTTCATAAATATATATATATACCATTTTATAACGTTTGGTTTTCTTGTTTAAATGCTGTAAAACAAGTCTTATGGGAGATTAGAAACCACCAAGTTTGTACCTGCTCTATCTTCGCCATTATGATATCAATCTCGGAGCCTTGGTCTTGGTGACTGATTGTCGGTGCCCAAGTGACGGTGGAGCTGCTGGCCGATGTAGGAATGGTTGCGCCGGTCCCGGACGACATACTGCCCATTCCGGAGCAGGCCGAGCGGGATGCCTGTTTGGCCTTCAGGGCCGAGGTCAGTTCGATTTGCAGCTCCTCGCAGCGCACATTTTCCAGTGCAACCTAGAGGCAAATGGTTTAGTGGGATCAGTACATATGGGATATTGGGTTATATCAATCAGTCACCTTCTTTTCCAGTTCACGAGCTCTCGACTGCAAATTCTCCACCGCCTCGGCATCGGGACGTGCGCTTCCGCTTAGATTGCGTATTTGTGCCAGGGTTTCCTGCATGGAAAAACAATGTTTTTACTTTATAAAAATATTTTAACTTTAAATAAGTATAATTCTATTAAGCCCATTAGGGTACGTTGCATTCGAATAATTTTAAGAAAAAAAAATGCCGAATACAATGTTTCAACTCGAAATGTCTATGTTATGTCTTTGCTTTAAAAGTTTAGCCGACTTCCAATGCGAAGTTACGAATGAAATGTCAATGCAATTTCTAAAAAAAATTTAAAAATATCAGAGCTGCACATAAGTTTTATTTCTAAAAACAGTAGACTATTCCACCAGTGCTAAACCCCCCGTATGTTTCCCCAAATGTTTTATTTTCAAAACATACCATGTATAAAGTATTTATGGAATATAACAGGGATATTTAAATTTTGTATTCTCTTTAAGATTGAAACTATTCCTTTAAGAAAGCTTTGAATTAATAGCGTGTCCTGTTTTGGCATTCAGTCTGATAGACCTTCAAGATTCGTTATATTGATAAATCAATTTGATCATAAATAATATTGTACAATTTATGATCAAAATGAAAAAGGCACTCACCTGATGCGCCCGCTCGATCTCCGTGCGCCGCATCTCCGCATCGCGCAGCTGCAGGCTGAGGGCGTCCAGCATCCCGTTGGGGGCGGTGCCAGCGGCCACGGCAGCGGCCGCCGACTGACGGTGGTGCATCGACTCGTACGGCATGCTGTGGCTGCCCCTCGGACGACTGCAATGGAAACGATAATCGCACATCAAAATCAGAATGGGGCCAGACCGGAAAATCTGCAGCGAGCCGAATGGCCGAACTGCCGCTGAGCCTCAACTATAGCTACACTTGGTCCCAATAAATAGTTGCTGTTTTTATTATCCTTCGCGTGACTTCCTTGCTTATTTATTCATTGGCCTGGTGACTGTGAAAATAGGTCAGCTGCCTGGCTTTTGGCCACAAAGGGCACGGCAAGCACGTGTCCCTCTGGTGTGTAGCGAACTTTGAACTGTGGGTTAATTGCCTGCCTGACCGTATTTATTGTTCACGCACAGCCCACAAAAGCTGAGATTGGGCAGCCTGTTCAGTAGAATGCTTATCCCTGCCGGCAGCTGGGCAATCTCTCAATTTGCAATTAATGCTGTCGCTTAGAGGCTACTCTGGTTAATGGTCATCGGTTAGATTTATGTATGCAATCGAAGTAAGTAGTCAGCACAGAAATGTGTATTATTTGATATCTCTTCCGTTTATATGGTTCAAAATTAGATTGATATTTCCGTCGAGGTTTCCATTTGCTTGCAACCAAAGACGTCAACTGAGCCAAACAAAATATTACGCATACGCCACCGAAAGCATTTAAGTCAGTTGCATTACTCATACGCCGCCCTTGTTCGATGAGACAATGAAAGGCGCCAGTTTGTCTAGACGGCGGCATGACTAGATATAGCTATCAGCATCGATTCAATGGAGGAAATACAATAAGAAAAACAGTTAAAGTTTAAAAAGTTTTCCAACCCTCTGGAAAACTTTTTAAACTTTAACTGTTTTTCCACAACTGAAACCCTAACCCAGTCATTAAATGCAGGATATATAAAACTGAAATCCATTTACCGGAGCAGCGCCGCATCGATAAATTGTTATTAATACATCAAAGCTCGCATCCATCGGAAAGCAACCATACACCTCCCACTGCACCACCAACTCCTGTGGGCCGTCAATGCCACTGTTTATGGGGTCCGATGGCTGGGCTGCCTGACATTTAAAAGCTATGACAGCGTTTATCCACTGCTGATGATGATGATGCTGCTGATATTGCTGCGTTGTTGTGGCTGCAGTTGCTGTTGCTCTTGCCTTGCCTTTTGGCATTGGTGTTGACTGAGCCCCGCCCTGATGGGCGTGTGCATGACAGCATCTAGCCGGAACCAAACGAAAGTCTTTGGCATTTGCAAAACGCCTTCCGGCACCAACCACTGCCCACTAAAACGATTTGAAGGCTATTTCAAAAGGGCGGATGAGCACCTTGTTGCACCGATATCACATATGTATGTATATTCCTGCAAACTGATAAACTCCCATGGGTTTAGCAGGTGAAAAGTTGGTATTAATACTGAAGTCACAGAGAACACAGAGAACCAAATATTAGAATGAATTTGGAAATGTAAAGTGGTTCGGGGTTTTGTTAAAACAACATCTGCTTATATAAACCTTTACGTTTTTAAGAACTTCAAAAACTTAGTTTTCAGATTCAGAAAATTTTAAGATATTGAAAAAATCCAGTTTAACAAAAAACTATTCGCACATCAAGGGCACTATTTACGCTTTTATCTCCTCTCAAGTTTGCATACACATAATCTGTGTCTAAATTTCTTAGTCACATTTTCATACTCATACTCATCTCTCAGTTCTGTAAAAGGTTTAAAAGTCGCGTGAGGATGGATCGATTTGTTATTCCAGCACATTAATTATCTCATTAACTGACAATCATAGCGGCTTGATATCCTGTCATTTCACTTTGCACTAAGCACTATACACTAAATGCCATAAATATTAAGTACTCACTGACACAACTGCAGTGCAGCGCGACTTGGATGTGAATGTGAGAGGGAAATGGAAAATGCGAACTTAGAAAAGCGAAAAGCAAAAAAGAAAATCCAAGGCAAAAGCACAGCCACTAGTTGCTGTTATGCACTGTGTGTGTGCGGGTGTATGCGTGTGTTACAATTGCAACAATAGCAAAAACAAGTAGAAACACATTTGCCCTACTACTGTTACTGTTACTTTGCCGCTGTTAATGGCTCTAGTTTATCTTTTGGGTGTGCGACGGAGATAGCCGTGAGTAACTGTGTGAGGGAGTAAGCTATATAAGCGGCGAGAGAGCCAGAGAGAAAATGTCCCTTCCGAGAGGAAGAGAGTTGGCGCATGGGCAAAAGGACTTGACCTGTTAACAGTGCTGTTACTGTTAAACCTTAACTGTTAGCATTAACAGCCAGTGTGGCCATGTTTGCTCAGTGTGTGTGGGTGTGCCTATCCTTGTGTGGGTGTGCATGTGGGCCGCAGGATTTTTTAATTATGATAAAGCGCATTGCGAGCATTTCGCAATAGAAGTATATGTGGGCGGCAAAGGCCTCTGTTGGTTGATGTGAGTAGTAAAAGTGCACCAAAAAAAAACACAAAAACAAATCTTTAAAAGTAGCCAAAGCTTCCACTAAAGTTATAATACTCTTTAAAAGGTTAGACGTAAGCACACATCATCATTTTTGCGCCTCAAAGTATGCAATAAAATATAAATTATTTTATAAATACTTCTGATACCCTATTTAAATTTCTACTTAACATACAATAGTTTATAGAAATTACTGCTATTGAACTAAAATGTATACAAAAAAATTTGACTATTATTGGTTTAACTTATGTTTTCTTGGCCACCGTTTAGCTGTTTCTTTCTTGACAGCAGGAATCTTTTTTGGTTCCGTGTACAAGTTTGTGAGCAACTGAGCAAAAAGAGTTTTTTCTTATATTTGGCGTGTCCTGTGTCCGGCAGTATCCCTAGATTGCTATCCGGCCGCTGTCGTTTCCTTGTTTGTCTTCAAACACAATAGCAGCCCTAGCTACTTGCGACTTCCATCGAGTTCCCTTAACTCCTTCCTGGCCGCCCAGCGCTAGTGTCTGTCTGTGCCTGTCGGTGACTATTTTAAGCACCACACTGCTTGCCGCACACTTTCGGGGGCTCGAGCAGTGCTTGGCACCATTTATCTCCATACACACTACCCACACTACCCACACATACAGGCGCGCACCAAGCGACATGAGCATACGTCACAGTCGACTTGTTTGCCATCCTCTCAGTACAACATTAAAGTCACCATCAATTAATTATCATCTGGTTAAAAGGTCAATTTTGTCAAGCCATTAACATACCAAATCTTCCATCATTTAGGCTCCATCAGTCAATAAATACACAAGAAAGATAAAAATTCATCAACTCAGAAAGTTTAGGTTTAATGAATTTAACTTCCCAAATTTGTCCTTTTTGCAAATTAGGTATCTATGACTTCAGTGTACCTTTAAAATGTTATACATCGATTCAAGACTTCTTTACATTAAGAATTGAAGCTCAAAGCTTAATTACAAAAATTAAATTACAAATTTATCTCCTTTCAATTCTATTTTTTTATAAACTCATTAGTAAACCCACCACCAATGCACCAATAAGAAAATATTTACTTAAATTGCTAAAGGCAAATAAAGCAATCTAGTTGACAATTAAACATTTAACACAGACTCAGTGCGTGCTGCAAGAAGTAGGCATTGATGTCTGCCGCCACCGAGAGGAGGCTTGAAATTTTAATGAGTTCTTAAAGTGCAGATTAGCTCAAACATCAGACTGCGCACCAGGCAGCCTCTCAGGAACCCACCAAACCACCCGAAACTGGGTTGCGGCCTGGCGCTGCTTTACACTCTATTAACCCACATTCTGGCCAAAGTCGTTGCGGCCATCGGAGTAAATTAAATGGAAAATTCCCATTCACTCGGAACTGAGCCACGTTATCTAATAGGGCGAGGAGATACCGGGAGCGCTACGCCAGTATCTTAATTTTCGCACAACGTGGTGTATGCGTAATATCATATACAAATGTCAGGAATAAAGTGAACAACTCGCAGTTTAAACAATATTCGGTGAAATTCCGTGGTTTAAAAAGCTAGAAAGAATGGAGACAAGGAGAAAAATGTCCAGCTCAACTTTTGTTGGCTACTACGAACTAATTTAAAAACTTTGTTTCGTTTTTCGGTTTTTGGCGCTTCAACTTTGATTTACTCCGAAGTGAAGTTGCCAGAGAAACCAGGGAAAAATAACAAAGAACAAAACTGAACTACGAAATTGCTAATTTTACCTTGTATATTGACGGAAAAGTTTGCAAAGAAAAGCAATTAATTAGCATCTGGCGTCGGTTGCGTTGACAAAGTCATCGAAAACGCAAAAGTTGGCAGTCCAAAACTAACATTTACTGAACATTTTCATTTCAAGATCGGAGAAGGTTTAAAAGCACCCTTGCCTACGACTCGATGCCTTAATGAGCAGTCGTTCAATTAATTGAATTCTCACACACTCGTCGTAACAATTAAGTGCTTCTAATTGCAGCAATTACAGTTAAGGAAGCCAAGAGTTAGCAGCCATTGCCAACAATTACATGCATAAATAGTCGCACATAGGACCGTCAAAGTACTCGAGCATATGACAAGTGGCAAGTTCTAAAAATAGCACTGCGAACAGAAAGTTTTTAAAGTCAAGCAATTACATTTAAGATGTTGGAAAAGTTCATTATCCTGCTGCTGGCTTGACCTCAATCGCAGAGCCAAGGAAAAAAGCGGAACCAGAACACGAGCACAAAAACTATCTCGCCTATTTATAACAAGATGCACACACACAGCCCCCAGCACACAAATACTATAGCTTTTCTATAGAAAAACCATAGCACAGTTATGGGATGGGGTGTGGTGGTTGAACCGGGAAATGGAAAGTGGGTGAGGATTTTTCCCAGCCAGTGGACATCTCATGGTCGCAGCTTGGCTGGCTGCCCAGCATATAAATTATTGATTACCATATGTCAAAATTGGCCAAATTCAACGATTAATCCTGAGCGAAAAATGTTTACTCAAATTTGTATTTATTTTTAAAAAGAATAAGAGTTTTATGTTTTTTCATGTTAAATAAAAATATTCATACAAATAAAAAACTTTATAAAAATCTGCCAATTTAAAACCTACAACCATATAATTTGTTTTGAGATGATACTGTAGATACTGTAATCAAGTTCTTATTCTGCACAGCACAGCACCAAATTTGGAAAATAATATTATTAAAAAACAGCAGGAAACGTTTAGCCAACAGTTTGGTTTTAAATTTAGGTTGTGTTAATAATGGATATGGGTGTATCAATACGTAAACAATCTGACTTCTAATTACTTTCGCCCTTCTTCAAGTAAAGCCACTGAAGTTAGCAATGACTTAGGTAATGTTCATCGAAGTAGCACTTATATTATTAATTTTTGGAACTAATGAAGGTTTGGTTCGTCCCGATATGGATTTTTCTTGCCCAAGACGAGATTTATTTTTCGCTTAAGTTCCACCTAAAAGTATACGATATTTCATATTTCGTCCAATGACCAATCTCTATTCCTGTTTTAAGTCCCACTTTATTTAAAAGTCAATCATGCAAATTTAAAAATAACCTGTAAGGATTTTGAATCCGCACATACTAAAGTGTGGAAATTCTTTTTTTTTTTTAATTTAAAATTCCTTTTTTTTTTGTTTTATTTGTGGATACCCTTAGATTTCACCAACCGTGTTTGGTTAAGTACCCGCACCGTGTTCCTGAATTTTAGCGTGACTTAAGATCATTGCAATGGAAACTGAGAAAACCTGTCCATAAATAAAAACAAATAGAAGCAACAACAAAGGGTCGGAATTAAACGTCGGTGGGCAACGGGGTAGTTTACACCCACAAACGTAGAAAACTCCGAAACGGAGAAGGTAACGTTAACCACATGTCCCTTCTTGGATGTATGTACGTGTATAAAGGTGTATGCAATATCTGTGTTACGCACGCAGCAGCAAACAACTTTAACACTGTTGTTGCGCAGGCTGGGTGAAAAGTGTGAAAACCGCCCCCAGAGTCAAAAAGTGGGACTTTTCTTCTGTTGGAAGCTTATGAATATGAAACGCTCACAGACACACACACATGCGAATGCGACACATGCTGCTCCTGGCGTTATTTCACTGGCATGGGTATTGGTGCTGCTCCAGTTTTGCTGGCCATTTACATTTCCATCTACTATACTTACTTGCCTCTCGCTCTTTTTGTTTCCCTGCGTGTGTGTATGATTGTGTGCGCGCCGTTTTATGCCCAAATGCAGTTGATTTCGCCTATTTCCTTATATCAGTTATTTTATTTATGCATTTTTTCATAATTTCGGTTTCATTCAGGCTTTCAGTATGTCTTGGTATTACAACTATTACCCGCATTTGCATATTGTATGAGCATCAGCATGTGGGTGAGTATATGTATATGTATGTGTGTGAGTATGAGAATGCGTGTGTGGGAGTGTGTAGTTTTACGTTGGTTGCTCTTTTTTTTCTTCCTTCATCGATATGCTTACACTTTTACTTTTCACTGGTCCACCATTTTTTCCGGGAATTATATCTTTTGGGTCTTTCACTGCACTCGCGGCGAGTTTTTTGTTGTTAGCGAGAAAATGGAATTTTCACGCAGCAGCGGTGCTGTTGGGAAAACATTTGGTGTACAGCGAAATTTTTCGTAAGCTCACTCGCTCGCATAACGGCTCTTTTTTTTAGCTTGCGCAAAAAAAGTATTTGCCCCACGATTCTTTTCACTTTTTTCTTAGATTGCGAATTTTGATTTGGGTTTCGGAAGCACTGGTTTTATTTTTTTGGGGGAATTTAACGGGTTGCGAACCTTTTTTGCTGCTTCTGCTTCTTGCTCGCTGCTGCTGGTGCTGCTTTTTCAGGTCGCCTCAGGTTTTCCTCTTCCACGTTTGCGCTGGGAAATTCACATAAATGCATAGAGTTTACACTAGGCTACATAGGCTGTACATAATATCGGAAAAACGCGATCGGTTGGCTATATATGCTACTGCTATATAGAAAAAACTCCGCCTAGTTGTCCACTTTCTGTGGGTAGCAGTTGGGTCTCAGTGCGAAAACCGAAAAGTGGGTCATCTCGGTCGCGCTGCTCGGCTGGTTTGTACTCTGATTTCTACCCAACTGCCAGCTCGATGCTCAGTGTGCCAGAGCAGAGTGTCCCAGTACCCAGAACCCAGTACTCAGTATCCAGTGGTGGCCAGTGTGCGGGGAATCGATTTTTCTGCGATATGACACTGAAAAAGGGGCAATTTTCTCCCGCTCACGTTTTCTCCTTTGGGGTTGCAAGTGGGAATGTTTCTGCTCTGGCGCTGTTAGCAAGCTAATAGTTTCGGCTGTTATCCACTAGCAGGACTTTACTCTGTTAACTACATACATGTGTGTTGAAATCCATTACTTTATTTTTTTCTAAGTTCTATCACGATCTGTTCTTAAGGTTTCCCAAATTATGCATTGGAATTTTTACCCTGGAAATATGTATTGCTTTATATTAATGATATCATTTTTTAATTACCAAATAAAATTTAATCTTCACTTATAGAAACTTTTCTAACTTGTATTCTTTTTTATTCGAATTACTTTAACTTAAGATTTAACTAATTATTTCAACATTCAGAAATCAGTGCAGTAGATAGCTATTATTTTTTCATCTACCAAAATACATAATTTCAAAACTCAGTTCTCCCAAACAAAATATAAAACAAGGTTTTCAGTTTGGAATATAAATACATTTATTTGTCGTTTTGCCTTCGCTATTACTACATTATGAGTTTGTTGCTTTTTTTGTTTTTAGTGTTCGTTTTTCTTGTAACATTTTTTAAATAAAATAATTTCTTTATTCATCCTGTTGATAGTGTTGTCGTCTACTAATGTCTTTCGCTTCCGCATTTTTCAAATCGAACATATCATTAAGTAAATGATTATTATTTATAGTGTTTAAATTTCCAACTCTAACAATTAAAAACAGTTAAAAATTTAAGTGTCTTCCGTTTTCGTTTTTGTTTTTATTCTCACCGTAGTACATACATTTCCTGTTTCTCTTTTTTTTTTACTAATTTTAAATTTATTCGTAGGGGCTTTGTTCTAAACAAAAACAAACTAGCCGATGTTGTTGTTAACAGAAAAAGAATGAATTATTTACAATAAATTGTAAATCATAAAGAAACACTTGCACACATCATCTCGATAAATAGTTGCTCACTAGTTAATTACAGTGCTTAGTCTTCGCAGAATTCAGTGTCCGATTATTTGTTATATATATTTACGATGTAAATAATTCCTGTGCTTTAGTTTCAACAGATTTTCATTTACGATCAAACATTTAACTTGGGCTGTATCGGGCGATTGGATATCTTAAGTGTGTGTTCTCTCTTGGATTTATTTGAATTGTGTGTGGTTAAATGGTTATTTAAACATAAAATTAAAATGCCACTAAAATTTGCCATAATTAAAGGTTTTAATTCTCTACTCGCATTTACTCTTAACTGTCAGCATTATTTGATTCGTTTGCCGTATTAGAAAAAGTGCACTTATGAATACTGCATTCGGTCTGAAAAAAGAACAAAACATAGTAATTGGTCAGTCAATAGGTAGAAAGCCTTGCTGAAATATGGTAAATTAATGATTAAATTTGGTATTGATTAAGCTAAAAGGTCAACTGTAATAGCCGTCAAAGCCTAATCGAAGCAATTTAGATGTGATTTACAATTTAAAATCGCTGAGCCCCCGCCCCAGAGAATCTCCGCTGCAAAATGCTAAACCAAACAATACCCGGAACGCCAATGGCATGACATCATCCCTACGGTTGTTCCGAAACGATAAGAAACCAGATATGAGACGATTAAAGAAACCGGCTATCTTGGCGTTGGCCCGTATCGTGTGATAACAACCATGTAAATAACAAGTATGTAGCTGCAGCTGGTTGACACTTACTGTCCTTCCTTGAAGTACTCCTTCAGCGTTGTGCTGAACTTCTTGGAATATTTGACAAACTCCTTTTTGCGCTGCTCCACAGCCTGCTTGCCTGTAACGCCCGGTATGAACGAGCCGATTTCGTTGACCACATCGAGCAGTTTCTTTATGGCGCTGGCGATTTCCCTGTAAAGTTAAACGAAATTTCATTAATTTGGTATTGTGTAACTGAAAGTTAAGACTGTTTTTATGGTTGAATCAGGACTATTGGTCATAGTTCCATTCCATGGTAATCCAAAAGTATGTATTAACCTTTTAAATTGCTTACGTTTTACCAGTTTAAAACATACACTTAGCTCACCACGAAGAGAAAATAGCCAGCCTTTTGAAACTCTGTTCTTCTGTTCCTTAATTAAATATATTAGAACTTTTGTAACTCACAGTAACCCACAAGCTTTAAGTTTAAGAAATTTAGATGTTAGCCAAGAATGTGCTTACTTGATGGTCTCCAGGAAGGTTTTCCTGTCGTTTATTTCGTCGGGTATGCGGCTGAGAATAACCTTGAGGGCCACCGACTTGCGGTTTAGCTCCTGGAAGGGCTCCTCCGTGCGCGTCAAGCGGTATTCATTGACTATGGTAGATGGAAGGGGGAATTGAGAGTTAGTGTTGGCTACGGGAGACTGCAGCTAAGGTGCTGGCGTGGCTACTCACGGTCCGCTTCCGTAATGTTGCCTTGTAATCTGAGCACGGCCTCGTTTAGGTTTACGTTCAGATCGGCCCGCCGCACAATCGTGGCCACGAGGTCGTAGCAGAAGCCCGGATTATTCTGCTCCGACTTGAGAATGGCGGAGCGCAGAGATTGGGCAGCGCCAACGTCGCGTCGCTCCAGCTGCAAGTAAATGGGTAAAGCAATTACAAACCCGAGTATGTTTACGCAACACACAGCCGAATCTAACGGGGCTGAAGGGTCCGGATTCGGATTTGGATTCGGATTCGATTCAAATTCCGTTTCACATACCTGGGAGAAAATGGGCCGCAGTATGACGGGCAGAACGAGAGACGTGGTTGGCTCGCCCATTGTCATTTCTAGGTAACTCCAAGTGCGCTTGGTCTTCTACTGCTGCCTATGTGTCCTGGCGCATGCTGCAGGATTCCGCTTCAGAGTCCAGTTCCGTGCGATGTCCGTTGATCCGCTCGCACGACTCTCACAAATCAAATTAACAAAATTAACAAAAATTGTTCACAACAAAATGAGCACAGTGTTTCTTTCGTGCTGTCGAATTACTCAACACTGGATATGAACTGGTTTGTCATCAAACCGTCTATCGTTCTGGGATAGCTTCGATAGTTTCTGGTGATGGCCCGGGAGGAAACAGCTGATTGCAATCGGTTTGGGTTCATCATCAGCTGAACTACCCTAGATTTGTTTATGTTTGAAATTCGAACATTTTGTCAGTGATAAAAGAAATGTCGGGTCATATCAGCGATATAAAACTGGAGGTCTGCGTTGACTCCATACGATCTGCTTTTGCCGCCGAGGCTGGCGGAGCTTCCCGGATTGAGCTATGCTCGGCCTTAGGCGAAGGCGGCTTGACTCCCACTGTTGGCACTCTGAAAACTCTGAAGGAAACCCTCACACTGCCCATTTTCTGCATGCTACGGCCCCGACGAGGCACCGACTTTGTCTACAGCGACGAGGAGATGTGTGCGGTGCTCGCGGACATGGATCTGCTGCGGGAGAACGGCGCTGATGGCTTCGTTTGGGGATCCCTGAATCCGGATCGCAGCGTCAATGTGGAGCAGTGTCGACAGGTGATGCTAGGGTCGGGGAGCCTGCCGGTGACCTTTCACCGCGCCTTCGATCTCACTGACCAGAAGCGAATGGACGAGAACGTCCAGCTGCTACGGGAACTGGGCTTCAAGCGACTGCTGAGCAGTGGGTTCCGTCCCTCGGCCGCCGATGGCGTCGATTGCCTGGCGCAGCTGATAGCCAAACACCACAGGGACTTCATTGTGATGCCCGGCGCCGGCATCAAGGTGTCCAACTTGGAGGAGATCCTAACGGTCAGCCGCTGCCTGGAGTTCCACGCCTCGGCCATGGACACGGCCGGGGAGGACTATGTGGCGCCCAGTACGACCCGCATGGAGTGCGACGTAACTATGGGCAAACAGGATGTGGACCCGTACTACGGAACCAATGCGAACGTGGTGCGCAAAATGGTTACTATCGCCAATGCCATGAGCTGCCGCTAAAGATCACCCTTAGTTCTTAACCTAATCCTAAGTCCAGCTTTTATTCCTTGACCATAAACCTCGGTATCGTCTATATAGTTTGTATATAGCTTCTAGTTCTTGTTACTACTTAAGTAGTCCTGTCTCTAAAACTCTAAATCCTAAAAATACAACAACATTGCACTTAAGCAGCATGATTGAGGAAACTAAACAGAGCCCATCTGCTCAAAGCCTCCAAGCCTTTAATCAACACATGGAGAATGCGGAAAAAATATTGGACAGAATAGAAGCTTACAGATTTAAGCTAAATAACCACATTCATGGCATAAAGAAGATGGTGGCAACCAATCAACGATTAATTGCTCGGCTGCAGGTCAATGAGCTAAGAATGAAGTCGCTTCTGGACGATAAAGCCAAAGATAAGCAAGGGTGGTAAGGAAAGTATGGAGATCTGATAGACTCCCAATTTAGCTTCAATATATTCCAAGTCAAAAGCACCGGCCGACTGGGAGGAGGTATCATCTACGTAGGACCTGCAAGGTGACCAACATCAAGGAGATATGTTGGACGCAATGCAAGGCCCACAGCTTGCCACCGAAGGAAGAGAATTCCCAGGACTTTGTGATACCGCACAGGGAAACGAATACATTGCTTAGCTTACACAGCAAGGACTTGATCCGGCATAGAGGTGGTCAGGAGCGTAAAACGAAGATAAAGCCAGTTCCCGATCCTAATAAATACGAGGAGATTGTATTTAAAGGTATAAAAGTGTGCTTATTTCAGTGACACTTTCACCTTTTGTGTACTTTTCCAGTAAAATGCATTTTAAAGCTGTTTGAAAAGCTGGACCTGCCAATAGCGTCAATTCCAGGTGTGAAAACATTTTGCAGGCGAGTGCTGGGTGCAATGTCCGACCATCAAATGCCCTGTAGTGAGCAAAAAGAAGTTATGTCCCATCTCACTTTTATCCCCGTAAATCCCTATTTATCTTTTTTTGAATAAACTGATAAATTTTAACTTGATTTTGAATTTTATTTTTAAACTGTTATAGTGCTTAATTATGAGCACGTTTGGAGCTGATCCAAAATAAATATACCTATTACGAGAAATTAAAATCAATGATTTTTAGAAATCTAATGCAAGATACGAAAATTAAATATGTGGTGCAGCTATAAAGAAATTGGTTAGAAAAATGGTAATTTTTTAAAGATGATTAAAACAAAGTAAGTAAACCATCTATATAACAATTTCTTGCTAAAAGAGTAAAATTTACTTTTAAATTATTGAAAAGAAAAATTATCGATAAGTCGAAGAGCAAACATTTGTAGCATACCTTCTGGCGCACACCGCGCAGGCGCTGGTAATAATTGATTGACCCGAGCTGTGTGTTTGGCCAAAATGAAGTCCTTGGAGGCCAAGAAATTTTGATACAGCTGGTTCCGGATAACCCCACATTTCCATTCACTGTCAATGTCAACAGTTAAAGCTCGGCGTACCGAAAATCAACTGAACCATTCGTCATGGACTTCGAGGAGGAGGCAAGTCGCCATGGACTCGATCAACATATGGCCACGTACAATGTGGAGGTGAGCTTGCAGTACCCCCAAGCTAACTATGTGACTTATATGACCCACCCTGGCAGACCTCGGCGGTGCACAGGAAGCTGCAGAGCAAGGTGGAGGCTCTGAGGATTCTGCGCCAGGAGCTGGAGCAGTTCCGCGTGGAACGCGACCAGTACAAGCTGGTGGCGGAGACCCTGCAGCTGCGCTACTCGGCGCTCAAGAGCAACAGTGAGCTTCTGGCTGTGGGTGGATGCGGAGCCCTCAGCGAGAACTCCAGCCTGGCCGCCCTGCTCCATGAGACGCGGGAGCAGAACCTCAAGCTCAGTACCGAGGTGGAGGCCTTGAGGCAGCGGCTAAACGAACTCCAGGGCGACATGGAACTCCTCCGTGAGACGGAGGCCTGCAACAAGTCCCGCGTGCAGGCGATGACCAGCGAGAACGCCGCCCGCAACAAGGATGAGGTGCAGTGGCGCCGGGAGCGGGCCAACTTTATTTGCCACCTGGAGGGACTTAAAAAGCGGAATGCCCAGCTGGCCTTCGATCTCAAGGCGGTCATCGATGAGAAGGAGGAGCTCATCACCGAGCGGGATGCCTACAAGTGCAAGGCACATCGCCTCAATCATGAGCTCTTTGTGGCCCTCAGGGCCAAGAAAACGCACCCGAGAGTAAGTTTGGATGATATAATGTATGATTAATGGTACATATTTAACTATCCTTGGTTCTTCAGCTTCTGGACATCGATGGCGTGTTGCTGGAGAACAAGTACCTGCATGAACGTGTAAAGATCCAAGACAGCGAACTGGAACTTACCAAACAGAGCATAACAAAGTACAAGGTACTACTCAAGACTTTTAGATATATTTACTTATTTTATGGTACAGTTTAATTAAAAATCATTACACTATATATGAAAAAATACACTAAATTCAATAAATATTTTTATTTGCTTAACCATCTTTTTATTTTTATGCAGGCCATGCTAGATCCTAAACGGAAAAAGGGGATTGTAAAACTAGGAGGTGGCGGCACAAATGAAGACACCATACTAAGCCCTCGGCAAGGTGAGAATTAATTAAAGTTTCAGCTCTTTCACCCCAAATAATGTCCGCCTCACTTAGTGAAATCAATCCTGGAAAGTGGCATCGATCTGCCTCAGAAAACGGAGAGCTTAAGCGACCTAAAATCCTTGTGTCTGGCTTTGCTGGACAACCTAAACGACAAGAATTTGGCTCTCTCACACCAGAAGAAGACCAACAAGTATACAACAGGAAACATGCATCACTACAACACTATAATATGGTGTTTTCTCCACAGAATACTGGCTGGCAAGATGACCGAGCTGGAACAGCGCTGGCAGCAGCTCCTTTCCGAGAACAATGATAATGCAGAAGGTGAGGAGGAGGACGAGGAGTACGGCTATGCACCCTCGCAACTGCTCCTCAATGGCTATTGCGCCGCCATGGTAGATGATGCCGACATCAGCAGCACTCCGTCCATTGCTCCAGAAAACGAAGGAGTGGTCATTATCCCAGATCCTAGAGATTCCGGGAAGCACAAGTCGCCCGAAGTCCTGCACTCGGACGATGGCATGTCCTCTCTTTCGACCGAGTCGGTGGATTCATCTGTGTACGGGGTGGACGTCCAGCCCGAAGATTTCCAGAAGTCTTCGTCCGCCACGACAGATTCGGGTAATTGCGGTCTCAGCAGTCGCTGCACCGGCACACCGCGCATCTCCAGTGCCGTGGCTCGGGAACGGATGGAGGATCTGAAGGATTTGCCACCTCACCTGGCCACCCTCGTACAGAAGGCACTCCACGATCTGGACATGCGGGACTACGAGGCTATGGTGACGATAAGGGCCGAGAATCTGGCTGCTATTCCTTAGATAAATACTAGTTCAATTAAGGACTCTCGAAGAAATAGATGGAAACCATATCGCAGTGTTGACAAAAGGTATAAGAATATATATATATATATATATATATATATATATATATATATATATTACCGCAACAGCGTACAATAAACAGGTTATATGACAGGATAAACATATTTCTCTTTTTGGATTTCATGTTCTTACGGATTTTCAAATGAATAATTTATATATTGTTTAAATTTCGCGCCCAATAAATTTGTGTTATCGATTAAGGATTATTCAGAGTGTTGGATACCGTTAGCAAAAACACATTCCCAGGCCTTTTCCAACACATGTCTGGGTATACATTTTCTGATAAGGATGCAATAAACATCACGACTAAAGCAACTCCAAGTTAATGAATTAAAAATGCCTTAAGACACTTCCGAAAAAGTGCCATGTAGAGTTAACCCAGTGCCGCAGAAAGTGGGAATGGAGCACCAATCAAAAGTCATCACCAAGCGGCCCCAACAAGGCCTATTCTAGTCGGAAAGTCGTTGCAGCCGCCCATCGCCAGAATGTCCAATGATGTGCAGGTGGCCCGAGTGGCCAGGATAGCCACCGATGTGCCTCGTCGCACTGGCAAGCAGCGGGACTCCAGCGGGTTCCAGGGCAAGCACTCCGGCAGCGGGGCTGGCGAGGATTTCGAGTACGTCTTTGGGAGCATTTCTCCGCGGGGCGGGGGCCCGATTAACAGGCATCTGGTGGGATCCTGCGACCTGGACTCCCCGGAGCACGCCCAGCGGGACACAACCGAGAGCGACAACAACATATCCAGCTGCTCCACGCTAGACATTGTCAACAAAGTGAGTGATAGACTTTACACAGAGAGAAATAACTTTATGTTTGTTACAAGGAGGGGGTTATAAAAGAGTTTCCGTTTAGTGTCTTTCCATTGAAAAATTAAAACATTAACTTTTTAATTCACTGCAAAGTTTTTATTTGAAAAATACAAATTTTATATTAAAACGTTTTAGGGGCAAAGCTTTGTCCTAAAAAATACAGTAAAGATTACACATACGACACGTAATCCAGTTATAATATCGTTGCAAACTATCCTATTTCTAACATTGTACATACGTACTTCAAATGATATTATTTTACTAAACTTTTGCTTATTATTTAAATGGGTGAAGCATAGCACTTAATTTACAATAATTTAATTAACTATAAACCTATTAAAACTATGAAAGAATATTTCAAAGAATGCAACCGTTATATTTCTTTAGAATTTAATTATTAGGGATTTCCTGCGTAGGAAAATTGATTTTAGAAATCCCGAATTTTTGAGGTGTTGCGTATGTGGGGTTCCGAAACTCGGGTGGGCGTCCAGTGCGCAGCTGCGTGTCGAAGACTGAGGGTCAAACTGCAGCGGCGGAGAGCGCGGATGCACCAGCGGTCGGATGACGACGTAATCGCCAGTCGAAATTTTCCACTGGACCATGATTTCGGAGCAACTGCTTCCGCGCAGCCTGAGCTGCCTGTGCTGCAGCGATACTCCTTCGGTGCCCACCGACAAACGTCGCAGCTGGGAGTACACGCTGATGGCTCATCCGCTGGCCAGACGACCAATAAACGTGATGTCCCCAGGGCTAGTCCTCCAGAAACTTCTAATCCGCCTCTTTCCCTCTCTTCCTCCCCCAGGTTGAGCAACTGTCGGTGCAGCAGCTGGAGAACCGGGTGCGGGAACTGACCCAGCGTCTGCAGCAGGCGGAAAGACAGCTCAAGGATAGCAACACTGAGCGGGAGACATGTCACAAGCGGCTGGAAGTGGTCAGCCAGGCACACGAGTGCCGCATTACCGAGATGCACTGCGTCATTGCCGAGCTGAGCAAGAAACTGCGCAGCAAGCAGGAGCACATCATTATGGAGGAACAAGAACCTGAAGGCAGTGGTAAGTAGAGGTACTAAATGAGTCAGACAAGTGCCTAATCCTCAATCCCACTTGCAGAACTAAGCTATCAAGAGGGTTCCGTGTACAACTCCGAGCTGAACCTCAGCAATCCCGATGCCGAGTGCCAGACTGAGCCACTGGAGGACCTGGAGGGCGCCTGCAGTACCACCAGCGTGGGCAACATTGCCCACAAGCCGCAGGAGTTCAGTCACAAGGGACAAGTGGAGGCACTGCAGGAGGAAGTGCTCCACCTGAGGGCTCAGATTGCCCTGCTCCAGTCCGAAATTTCCACGAAGGATGCATTCGTAGTGGAGGAGCAGACCAAGGTTGCCTTCTTTGGCTGCGAAACAGAGGTCAACGAGTGTGGGCAGCGGCTGAATGATTTGAATGGTATATACACCGGTCTTACCGAGTCCCATCTATATTTGCTTCTAAAATCCACCCTTTCCAGCTTGTGTTTCCTTGACCAGCCCGCAGAAACGTGTTCCCGCCGTGCCGAAAATGGCGGAGAAGGTCAAGTTGCGATGCGCCAGCAAACATGAATCTAGTAAAGATCCATCGCCCGAGCAGCACACTTCATTAAGCAACGAGGTGAGATGATCATCCTATCATTTTAAGAACGCATTCAAATCGTTTTTCCTTGAAGCACATCAACCTAGTGGAGCACTTGGTGTGTGAGCTGAAGGAGCAGAACCTTTTCATGGAGAGCTTCATGGAGCCCCTGCAACTGAGCAAGGAATTGGAGCGACTGCAGCGGCGAGTGGAGCACTTGGAGATGCGCAACACCATGTTGGCACTGACTCTGGACGAGTGCAAAGAACACACGGAGCACCTGTATCTGCTTTGCGGCAAATACGAGTCCAATGCAGTGGCCTTGCAACTGGCGCTGAATTGCAGTGATCGTGCCATCGAAGCCTATGACGTTATGCTAGCTCTGCTGGAAAGCAAGTGAGTTCTCCCAATATTACCCTTCATTGAGTCTCCTTTTCTATGAAAATATCCTTTTTAGGTTGGCTCTTTTGGGCGAGAAGTCAGCGGTGACGGAGGAGAGCCGTCGATCGGTGGAGGCGGTGGCCAGGCATCTGCTTGCCCGTCTGGACAGCGAGAAAAACGTTTGTGAGAATAGTCTGGGGCCGTGGCAGCACAACATTAACCTGGGCCCAGAGGATGCCCCCAAAATTGGACGTACCTGGTGTTCCGATGACGACAATCGCCTGCGCTACCACGTCTCAAAGCTGAAGGCACGCCGCTCAAGCGTCCAGCACACCATCGTCAGTCTGGAGTCACCATTTAGCGACATATACGAACAGAAGCGTCTGGCTTTGGAGAAAAAGCACGAACTGCGCGGCGAGGACAAGAAATCACCCATCGACCTAGAGACGGCCGTAATCATGCAAGAACTCATGGAGCTGCGGGATGCGAATATTCAATTGAAAAGTAAAATGGACGAGGCCGAGCAGGAGCGGCAGAACGCCAACGAACGGGTAGGTGTACTCCACGAAGCTCTGAAGCAACTCCAGGTCAGCAACCGGGTATCCTATTCGGAGGCGGAGCACGCAGCCCTCACGGAACAGCAGTTGGTGGAGGCTTTGACGCGGGAAACGGAGCTGAAGAGCCGCATCCAGACGCTGTTGGCCAATGTCACCGCCTCGCAGAAGGCATCCGACGAGAAGTACGAGCAACTGCATCGGAATGTGCGCGAACTGCAGAAATCTAACCAGTAAGCTTCCCTTCTATCATCTTAATATTCACTATGCTTCACTGCTGCATCTGAACTTCATCTTCTTCAGCAACTTGGGACAAATGTTGGACCACAACAAGCGCAAGTACCAGCTGCGCGTGAGGAAGCTGGAGCAGAAGATCCTTGACCTACGGCTGGACCACGAACAAGGCCGCAATCATGTTCCTGAGACGACTCTGTAGGTGTAAGGACGTACATGTCGGCCCACCAGGAGGACTGTACAACTGGGTGTGGTGCGGGCGCGCTTGTCACATATCCCGCTAAAGATCTTTCCCCTTGATCATACCGCTTCTTTTACCTTCAATGCAATGCCCATCTAAATCGGAAACATTCGCCCAGTAGACGCTCCTGGATCCGACATGACCAAGACAGTATCACGAATGTGCCATGCGACTAATTTGCAGCCGGCTGGGACTAGGACTATGTCCTTCCCCGCAGATCAAGCTGCAGCGACTACATACTCAAATAAATACATATTCAGAGGTGCCATGAGCAAGGCTCCAACCTTTCCAGATATCCGTGGGATTGGAGCATCCGTCTCTGGGCCACAAGCAATTACATATACACATACGACTAGGCAAACTAAGGAGTTACTCACGACGCATACACGGGATCCTATATTTATACAATGTATTCGCATTTTGCTTGTTATATGAATTCAATATGTATTTAAGATTGTACAAATTATAACATCTCTACTGGAAAATTGTTTGATTTTTAATATTCAACGGCGCCAATAACTTATCGATAAGCTACAGTAATCGAAAATCAAAGATGTCCGTCTCTATATCGCGGTACAATGTTGCAAACTACCAAAAAACAAATAGCGTTCTTGTGAAATACAAATGTTTTGAAAATTTATTTAAATTGAGTGCTCTAGAAAAAATGGAAATCGTGGCACCTATTGTACAGGGAACTAGCGAATCAAATGCAGATAGTGGGGCAAAAAGAAAATCCCCTGCAGAAGCCTCCATCAGAGGAGATGAAAATTCTGAGACTGAAAACAGCCAAAACAAACGAATAAAATCGGAGGAACCTGTGGTTTCAACTAGGGACGAACCAAAACGTGATACTCCTGTTAAAATTAAAGCAGAGCCAGCGGATGAGGATGCAGGGGAAGAGGCTCTTCCCTCTTCGGAAGCCACCACCATTGATCCAACAATCCAGGTAAAAGCAGAATCAACAGTTAACGGAAACTCACCTGCAGCGGCGGCAGTGGTAAAAACCGAACCCAACAATTCCAACTCCAATGGACAAGTAGCGGCTGATTCATCTGTATCCTCGAGCAGCAGTAGGATTTCTTGCCGGTTCGGAATTCGTTGCTACAGGTACATACATAGAAATGGAAAATTTGAATCTATTTAACTCAACCAACCGGCGTTTGACAGACGAAATCTAGCTCATCGGAGTGCTGAAGCTCATCCAGGAGACCAGGACTATCGTCGACCCGACTTTCCGGAGCCTCCGCTGGGAACTCCTGCTTGTCCCTATGGAAACGCCTGCTATCGCCGTAACCCAGTTCATTTCCAGCAGCACTCCCATCCGCCGGATTGTAAGTAGGACGCTTCCTTTGCTCTGGCTTCAAGATGACTAAAGGTCACTCTAGTCAATTCCGCCCAGAACATCCGCAACCGTCTGCGCCAACGAAAAGCTCATCGGCAGAATGACAACGCCGGGACGGATGAGGAGGATGACCCTTTTGGAGGCGACAATGATAACGATGCAGACTATCGTCCAGGCGCAGATATCGACGAAGACGAGGATGATGAGCTGGAGTTTGAAAGCCAGCGCATAAATAGCGATGATTACGATTAGACTACACATTCCCATAACTGGTTTAATATATATATATATATGTATTCGTTTGTTGTAAACTTATGCCTAAGAAGTTTTTCTAGTAGAAGCCCTCATCCACATCTTCGGCTGGCTTTTGGTCAAAGGTGGCACCCCATTTGGCAGCCTCCCCGCCGCGTACTTTCACATTGTAGCAGACGTTCTCGGCCTTCAGGACGCTCTGCCTCATGGTGGTGATCTTGCGCCAAAGTTCTCGGGCTCTCTGGCAATTCAGACTGATGTAACTGAAAGGGAATGGCAATCAGCCCTGTACTTGTTAAGAGAAGCTACTTTATTTACCCAGTGTAGAAGTGCTGCAAAGTCTTGCAAGTCTCCAAACAGGTGTCGGTATCCCCGCTGCCCAGTGAATTGATACAGCGGCGCATCAGCTCACCAGTAAGATCAGACAGACCCAGAATATACTCAGTAGGGTCTACGAAAAACTGGAACTTCTTGGGATTGTGGCTTTTGTCTGCCGTAAGTGCCACCACCTCCAGTTCCTCGCCTTCCGTTGGCTCCCCCTTGGGCTTGCTACTCTCCTCGACGTACTGCATCACCGACTGGATGGCCTGCCAGTCGGATACGCTCTTGGACTGATACTCGCCTTCCCCGTCCTCGTAGCACAGGTACTCCATATAGGTATACGCCTCGATGAACTCCTGCAATCCCGGTGAGTACGCGCCGCGGAACTGGTAGACATCCTGGTCACGCAGCTCAAGGGCCACGGCCCTAAAGTTCACCTCAATCAACTTGTCCAGGCGCTGGCGTGCCTCCTCCAGGACCTTCTCCTTGTTCTGCTTGCGCGAGTCGATGGAGTGCAGCAGGAAGATTATGCGCTTGGACTCGATGGTAATGTCGCGACTCAGCTTGACAATCCGCTCGTGGCGATCGTGTTTCATGGTCAGTTCGTTGGAGTAGTTGCGAAAAGCCTGAACAATAGGATTCTCCTCATCCAGTTGCACCGGTGGCATTGTGCGCTTCCTGGGTACATTATTTCGGTGAGCAGCATTTCCGTTTTTCGGCATAGTGAAAGGTTTTCTTACTTTTCTAGCAAAACTGTTTAATAATTACAGAATGGATAGATAACTCCGTTTGTTTTACGTTGTAAACAATTTGTCGGCTTTCTGTAGTGTTGGTAAACACACTTCAGCTGCAAGTGCTGGCAACGCTTGCTGCCGGCTAACATTTTACAGCACTGATTTTGTGTTTATTCACTTTCGTGGCAGAATTTGTTTTAGTTATTAAACTTGTATTCCAGACAAAAGCAATGCATGATCCCGTCAAAAAGTCGGCGCACCTGACCGCCGGCTCGACCAGTACGGCGGAAAAGCTGTGCTTCGACAAGAATGAGTTTATGAAGGTGTGTAATCCCGGCCAGAATTTATGTGTTCCTCTGCTCACCTTTCCTAACAGGCAAACTTCTCGGTGGACGAGTTCCTGCACAAGAATCGCAATGCGCCCAGTCTGGAGCAGCTGCGCGACAACCTGGGACTTTACCTAAAAGGCCTGCGAGCGGCGATGATCGATCTGATCAACGAAGACTACGCAGACTTTGTAAACCTGAGTGCCAACCTGGTGGGCCTGGATCAGTCCATTGAAGCCATTCAGCGGCCGCTGGAGCAGTTTCGCAGCGACATCGAGAGCATCCACGGACTGATCGACGAGAACGTGACTGAGCTGCGGGTCCAGCTGGAGGAGAAGCGCCAGCTGCGCGAATATAAGAGCGGACTGCAGAGCTTGAAGAAGGTCTACGAGACCATCAGCAAACTCCAGGACCTCATCGACCGGAAGTTTAGCGGAGAGCAGCCCATCAAGGCCGTAGACCTGGAGCGGGCTGCCCTGGACTTGATTCAGTTGCGCTTTCACGAGAAACACTGTTCCAAGCACTTGATTGCCGAAAAGCAGACCCAGATCCAGTCGCTGGAAGAGCAGATGCATCAGCATCTGCGCCGCTTCTTCAATGACGCCCTCAGCCAGGCCCGCAACTCTTCACCGGAGCCGTTGGAGCGCTGCCTGCGCATCTATATCACACTGAATGCCTGTGGTCAGGCTGAACGCGTCTTTCGCGAGGATGTCGTGGCACCCTACATGACCGGCGTCATCGGGGAACAGCAGCTGCAGAACTCGCCGCAGGGCCTGGCTGGCATTTACAGCAAGATCCTCAATTTCATTTCCCTGCACATGACCGACCTGCTCCGCCTAACGCTCTACTCCGACAAGTTTCCGGGCTTTAACTTTGTGGTGAACAGTTACTGGGCCGATGTGGAGTCGCGGCTTGAGCTTTACATGAACTCCATATTTGCTCCCGGAAACTCAGAGGTCTTCTATGTGAAATATAAGTGCACCCGCGACTTTCTGAGTAAAATAGAGGAGCTGTTGACCAGCTCTGGGGAGCAGGCGGTGGTTCTCTATCGCCAGCACAAGCAAACTAAGAGCTTCGAGGCCCGCTGGAATCTCCCGGTTTACTTTCAGATATGCTTTCAAGTATGTATAATTTAAAACTTACAGCCAAAGTTTATTCCTTTACCATTGGGCTTGATGTTTCCAGGAAATTGCTGGTCAATTTGAAGCCAAGTTGGAGCCTGTGCTGCAGGACGACACTTTGAAAAACAATCTCGGTGCAAAGGACTACAAATTAACGCCTTTTATTGCCGCCAAGGAGGCCATGTCACGATGCTGGGCAGAGGGAGTTTATTTGCCTGAGGTGTTTCCCAAGTTCTACAAGCTGAATGTACAGATAGTGCTCCGTCTTTCCCGTTGGATCACAGATGCCATCGCTGTGTCGAAGAGCACAAACTTCACGAGGTCGTTCACTCGACACCAGTTGCTTATTGCTTTGCATGCTGATATCCGCAAACTGGACGCTTACCTGCCTGAGCTCCAGCAGTTGATTGTTCAATCCGTGCCCGCTGAACAGCGTACAAAGGCATTCAACGATGTCCTGGCCAAATCTATGGCTGCCTTAGCCGACACACTGGGAGCGCATTTGACCAGTATACAAAAGACCTTGGTAGAGCTGCTGATCGCAGAGTGCGAGACGGAGAATGTGCGCCAGGTGAACGACTTGCCGCGATTGTATCGCAAAACCAATCGGGAGGTTCCCTCCCGCTGCTCAGGCTACGTGGAGCAAATGCTTCGGCCTCTCAAGGCTTTTGTCCAGCAGCATGAATCCCAGCTGGGTACTCTAGTGGTGGAGCAGATTCTGTCGGAGGTTGCCAGTGAAATTACCAAGGCGTAAGTTGAAATGGTTGTTCACAAAAATGTGTGCCAACTGTAATCTCTTATATTTTTAGATATTTCAATGTGGTGAGTGATGTGCTCACATCAGTGCAGAAAACTGAAGAGTCCTTACGTCGGCTACGGAATGTTAAAAGTGGCGGATCCGCCATGCCGTCAACAGGAAGTTCAGCTGTGATGTCCGACGATGACAAGATTCGCGTCCAACTGCGAGTGGATGTCACATCATGGAAGCAGGAGCTCTGCAAACTGAACTTCCAGGCCACCCAGATCGAAAAGCTGGTCGAGCTGACCAACATGGTGGAGGACAGCATCAAGCTGAAGGACAACAGTGCTTAGACGCTAACAACGAACAGTTATTAAACATATATACTTCACTTTATTCTTGTTAAACGAATTCTAACGATTCTTTAGGCACGTTTACTGATTGTTTTAGGACTACGAATTGTATATAATATATATAGGCATATATGTATATCATATATAAATGCATTGATTTTCACGATCGTTATTGGTAAATACAGACGGTGTCAGGGACTTTCCCTCGAAGTTATTCGCTGTTGGAATGAAACAGAACAGAGATTGCGGATAATTAAGCGGCTGCGGTCGTCAACATGTGGCCATAGAACAGTAAAAGTAAAGTTAACGAATATTGCAAAAAATAAACGGCAGGCAAGGAACCATGCATAACATAACTCAAGCTTGCAATGTTATATACAAAGGTGTTCAGGAGTATGTATATAAAAATGAGCGGCCTAACGGAAGACAAACAGGATTGGCTTGCTCAAAAAAGAACACAACAAGGCCTGCTACATTACAGCTTGAGTTCCTCAGTGTCCGGCAGTTTGCGGAAGAACCATTGCACATGTTCCTCGGTAACATCGGCCAGCTGGGCTGGCTGCCACTGCGGCTTCTGGTCCTTGTCGATGAGCAGGGCGCGCACTCCCTCCTTGAAGTCGCTGCGCTCCAGATGACGCACGGCCAGACGATACTCCATGATGAGGCACTGGGCCAGCGAAAGCTGCGAGCCGAGCTCCAGTTGGCGGAATGTGACCTTCATCGAGGTGGGCGACACCTTAGAGAGGGTCTGCCAAAAATAAACAAGCCATTACGTATGTGTATGTGTGCCAGTTATGCATCTAAAACACCGCTAATTGACTGGGAGCAGATCAAATATGAGGCGCTAAAAGCGTGCCAAACGTTGATTAGCCCAGCCAATTAACATCCGATTGTGTTCTTATCACTGTGAACCGCTTACCTCAAGCGTCTTCTTGGCCCACTCGCTGCCGTCGTTCTGCAGGTTCTCCAAAATGCCCTCCACTGAGTCCGCCGAGAAGTTTTTGTTGATCTGTTCCAGCACGGGTTGCAGGGAGAAGGGTTTCTCCGGCGTGGAATGGAACTTTTGAAGCAGATCCGACACATCATCCGCATCCGGACAGTTGAGCAGCGCCGTCTCGAGATCAGGAACCTTGCTGCTCTCACAGAAGTGCGTGGCAATGCCCGAATAGAAGACATCCCCACCGCGCAGGCGATATCCTGTGAGTCCTAGGTAGAGACCCAGCTTTCCCTGCAGTCGGGGCAGGAAGTAGGAGCCACCCACGTCCGGGAACAGTCCGATGGCCGTCTCTGGCATGGCGAAGAGGGTCCGATCGGTGGCCACACGGTACTTGCCGTGCACACTGAGGCCCACGCCGCCGCCCATGGTGATACCGTCGATTATGGCGATGTAGGGAATCTTGTAGTTGCCGATCAGGGCGTTTGTGCTATACTCCTCCCGAAAGAAGCTCTTCGACTCGTCCGTGGGACCAGCCTCGACCAGGGCACGAACATCTCCGCCGGCGCAAAAGGCTTTGTCGCCTGTACCCTTGATGATTAGCAGCGACTTGGACTTCTCACACTTTTTCAGGTGCTTGTAGATCTTGCGCACCATCTCGAGGTTGATGGCGTTCAGCGCCTTGGGACGGTTGAGGATTATCATACCCTTGTTGGACGACTCCGTGGCCAGCACGGAGGAGGAGGATTGGCGGGCTGAGTAGGCCATTGTCGATGGTTTTGTGCTTGATATCGCTGCGATCAGCGGCAATGGGCTGCAGGTGCGATGACCGAATGTGTACACCAACCTTTGAATTGGGCCTTGCTGGGCGGCAAATTGTTTTCGATTAGCTAAGCAATTTAATTTGCAGGAATTTGCATTACTTACCATTTTGAACGGCTGTCTGTCGCTGTGTGTGGCGTGTGTTTTGTGTTTCTCTCACTGTTGCGCAATAGAATTTTAACACCCGCACAGCTGGTTGTTCTTGCGGCGGCGTTGCCAGACAGCTTGCCTGCCGGACGTGATTTGGGGTGTTCCAAAAACGTATTCTTCACAAACCGTTAAAAATCTCTCAAAAGAATTTAGATCATTGCAAGAGCTGATTTGACAAAGAGACATTGAAAAAATGTTGACTCTTTTATCTAATTTAACATGTTTATAAGATTATGGGCGTTGGCAGCTCTCATATTGTATTCAACTCGTATAGTTACAGCTATTAATGATAGTATTGAGAAAACACAAATGTAAGAAACAAACTAATTAAAAATCAATAAGAAATAATAATTAAAAACCATTAAACGAAGTATATCTCCTTTTAAAATTAATTCACCAAAGCTTTAACCATATTTCGGAACACAGTTGACATACATACTGACAATAAAGCCAATCGAGCGGTCTGGCAACACTGCGATTGGCAATTGTACTTCTCGCGAATAAGAATAAGAAAAACAAATTTCGTATAGTTACTTTATCTTATTTTGTCAACAAATAAACGGTGAGTAAACATTTGTAATTAGCACGCAATCGGTGGTCGGTTGTCAGTTGAGCCAGGGCCAGCAAGTGGCTCGCACCGAGATTGCCATGCCGCAGTTCTTTAAGTTCTCCAAGCTGCGGACAAAGCGTCGTCGCTCATTATCCACTTCCACTTCCGTCTCTGTTTTCATGTCCTCCCCCCCGGCCACCAAACAGATGAACTATGACGGCCTCCTTTCCAAGTTGACCGACGAGAAACTGATGCTTTTCGAAGCCGCTGGCGAGGGCAGCATTGTGGAGGGCAGGCGGATGTGCGGCCAGGATGCAGACCCACTGTCCCTACCGCTGGTCGAAGACGGCGCCATCGAGGAGGAGCAGGTGGCTCCCATTCAGACTATTCCCCGCGACACCGTGTTCGCCGTTCCACGCGCACCCTCGCCCTCTCCCGTGAGCACATCAGGTGCGAATTTGAACCTCAAGTCGGAAAACGCTGCGACAGCAACACCGCAGCGCAAAATATCGACGTCATCACGCTTTATGAACGCCTTCAGTCAGCTTTATGGCGGCAGCAGCAGCGCTCCAAGCTGCGGTCACGTGGAGCAGCACAGCGAGGAGCCAGGTGACCTGGCGGCCAATCGGACGCCCACCAAGGGCATGGAGTCCAAACTGGTGGCCATGTGGCACAATGTGAAGTACGGCTGGAGTGGCAAGATGCGTCAGACCAGCTTCTCCAAGGAGCAGCCCGTGTGGCTGCTGGGACGGTGCTATCATCGCCGCTTCACGCCACCCGTTAGCATGGAGAGTTCCATCAGCGAGCTGCCCAGCGGAGCGGATACGACGCCCGACAACGCCACATCAGCTTTCGACAGCATACAGGCCACATCGACGTCTGGCTCCTTGTATCCAGCGCTAAATCCGCAGCAAATTGACGAGATTGTGGTGCCCCAAGAGCTGGGAATGGACGCTGTCGAGAACCAGGTGGGCGAACAGCCCTGGGAGGAGGGAATTGAGGGATTCAGGCGCGACTTCTACAGTAGGATATGGATGACCTACCGGCGGGAGTTCCCCATAATGAATGGCTCCAACTACACCTCGGACTGCGGCTGGGGCTGTATGCTTAGGAGCGGTCAGATGCTCTTGGCCCAAGGACTCATCTGTCACTTTTTGGGGCGGAGTAAGTTGATCGGGCCATCGCCAGCCAACCTGATTTTAATAAAACTCGTCTGCTTACAGGCTGGCGCTATGATTCAGAGTCTCAGTTGCACTCCACCTACGAGGACAACATGCATAAGAAGATAGTCAAGTGGTTCGGGGACAGCTCCTCAAAGAGCAGCCCCTTCTCCATACACGCCCTGGTGCGGCTGGGCGAGCATTTGGGCAAGAAGCCAGGCGACTGGTATGGCCCCGCCTCGGTCTCCTACTTACTAAAGTAAGTGCAGACTGTTATCATATCGAGAATTGAGAATCTTTATCATGGCTAATAAACTTTTACCCCACCGCAGACACGCCTTGGAGCATGCAACTCAGGAAAATGCAGACTTTGACAATATCAGCGTCTATGTGGCCAAAGATTGCACGAGTGAGTACAAAAAAAAAGGAATACCCCAAATCGAAGATTTACAAGATAATTACCATGACACATTGATACGCCTATGAGTAATTGCTGCAACCTTGTTACTGAAGCTCATTACTCATGGAATTATTTGATAGTGTATTTGATTTGATAACCAAGTTTCTGTGTTTCAGTTTATATGCAAGATATCGAGGACCAGTGCAGTATACCGGAACCAGCCCCCAAACCCAATGTGCCTTGGCAGCAAGCAAAGCGACCGCAGGCGGAAACGCCTAGGCCGGAGCAGCAGCAGCACTGGAAATCCCTCATAGTACTCATACCCCTGCGACTGGGCAGCGAAAAACTAAATCCAGTGTATGCTCATTGCCTGAAGCTACTGCTGAGTACGGAGCACTGCCTAGGCATCATTGGCGGCAAGCCGAAGCACTCCCTGTACTTTGTGGGATTCCAGGAGGACAGGCTCATCCATCTGGATCCCCATTATTGCCAGGAGATGGTGGATGTGAACCAGGAGAACTTTTCCCTGCACTCCTTCCACTGCAAGTCTCCACGAAAGCTAAAGGCCAGCAAAATGGATCCCAGCTGTTGCATCGGATTCTACTGTGCCACCAAGAGTGATTTCGACAGCTTTATGGAGAGTGTACAGCTGGTAAGCCAAAACCAAACCCTTATGCTCGCAACATTTCACTAACTATGTAAAATGTTACAGTATTTGCATCCAATGCGCTGTGCCTCCGGGGCAACTGTGGACAAGGCGGCCGGAAGCCATCAGGGGACGTCTCAATCAACAAGCCATCAACAGAGCGAGCAAACGGAGATGAACTATCCGCTGTTCACATTCTCTCGCGGTCGTTGCCTGGATCACGAGCGGGATGAGATGAGCGATTCACTATACAAGCCGCTTATAAAGCAGGTGGCCGCATTGGCACAGGAATTGGGCGCCCAGTTAACGCCGCCGCAGCATGGCGATGACAATGATCAGGATGATAGTGAAAGCGAAGAGTTCGTGCTGCTGTAGAACGTTACCGCCCCATAACCTTGTTGCTGTGCTAGCTGTGTTATTTGCTCATTATTATTTGAATTAGTTTCCAACCGCCGTTGCTCGCTTGTTCGCCTAGAAAAACCCAACAGACCCGTATCTCAAACACAAAGACTTTGTTTTACCTTTACGCCTACGCACATAGTACATAGACGCATGCATGTATCTTGAATATTTACTGATGTCCACGTTAATCTCTCTTTTGTTCGACTTGTAGTCTCGCATTCTGCCAAAGTGTTTCAGATTTTTCCATGTTCCAGCAGCCCGATCTGTTTATATGTGTTGTATATAAACTTGTGTTATTTGCGGTATTATTATTTTAAAATCATGAAACTTTAATGGAATTGAATATCATTTTACAATGGTGCCACAACTGTCACTATCTTCTGAAGTATTTCATGTAGTCCTTACGTTCTAGAACTTAGTTAATTTATGTAAGTCGCCATGTAATTGTTCGATCATTAATTAGTTGTAACATTAATTGTATATACCCTCGAGTAAATTAACAAATAAATAAATTATCCTAAACTTATACTAAAAATAAATAGGGTTTACTGAGTGGTCGCTGATGGGATATGGATGCATTGCACTTTAGTTTTAATCGTGCTGGATTGATCAATTTACAATGTTATTTTGAATGTTTTTCATTAGTAAGTACATGTATGTATATGTTTCCGGGACTAGTGACTGAACGCACAACCTCAGTTTTGGTTCAGGATTGTTTTATTGTTTGCCTTTTTGCTTTCTAAGACAAACAACTCTTGGCTGGTTCCATAATTTGCGATGAGACTTGGAAGCTAATGCTTATCTTTGGATGACCTGCGCCTCCCGCTCCAGGCGTTTCAGAAGCTTGCTGAGATTCTCCCGCGCTGTCGTTGCCCTCGCCGCATTAATACTTATCGCCGTTCGATAAGCCTCTATAGCCTCCTGGGTTTTGTCCCAACGGTGATAGAGCACCCCGAGATTCGTGTAGTAAAGCATGTTACGGGGCTCCAGCTCAATAACACGCTTATAAACCGACTCCGCCTCAATGTAGTGTTTCAGCTTGCCAAGGACATTGGCGCGAATGAACAGGATGCTCACCTCGTTGGGCAGATGCTGCAGGGCCTGATCCGAGAGGCGCAGGGCGTCGTCCTGCAGTCCTCGATTGTCCAGCATTGTGAGTATGTTGGCCCAGGCTTTTGGCTGGCGGGGATTCAGCGCCACAGCGTGCTGCCAGTGATGCAGAGCATCGGCGTAGCGTTTCTGCTCCAGATAAAGATTTCCCATATTGTAGTAACAGACGGCAAAGTTGGCCCTGTACTTCAGTGCCTTCTCATAGCTGGCCAGTGCCTTGTCAAACTTTCCCTGGGCCGATTGCACAATGCCCAGATTCATCCACGCCGCCGGAAAAGCTGGATACGCCTTCAGAGCCAGTCGAATATAATCTTCAGCTGAGGCCAGTTGACCGTGCTCCCTGTAAAGATTTCCGAGGTTCATCAGGGCTGATTCATAACTGGGATACAACTCAATGGCCCTGTGATAGTGCTGGAAGGCTTTCGTATTGTTTCCCGTATCAGTGGCCAGCCGGGCGATGTTGTAGTGCACCTTGGCGTTGTCGGGACACACCTGTAGAGCGGATTTGAACAGCTGCTCCTCATTTAGCCAGTCGGTGGTCCGCTGTCGCGTCCGCAGCATCATCACGGCGAAGAGCAACATCAGGAGGATCCGCAGGGCAGTGCGCCAAAGTGATTTACTCGTGCTGCAGTCATACCAGTATAGAAATCCATAGATGGACACAAGACAAAAGCCGATGGAAGGGACGTAAAGAGTCCGCTCTGCGATCACGAATCCCACGCAAATGATACCCGACGCCGGTAGAAACGGAATAACCATCAAGCCCATAGCTAACATCATTCCAGGCAGGCGGCGGAAGTTCATCAGAGCCACCAGCACAAGGGAGTAGAACCCGATGACGCCCTGCAGTCTCAGGTCCCAGATGCTGGTCACCAGCTTGACGCAGCCCAAAGCCCAGTCGTAGCAGAGCCAGTGGGGGCACAGCATCAGCCAGATGTTCATGACCAGCAGGTACTGCTGTGAAAGTCCACGGGTCAGGATGTGCTCGTTGTGGGCCACCGGGTTGTCCACTTCCTTGAATGTTGGTGTCTCGAAGTCTTGCCACCATAGCCGAACCATCAAAAGACCCAAAGTGCCCATCAAGTAGGCCAAGTAGCTAGTCCGCGTGCGCAATAGATTCCACTGATCCTTAAGCTGCAGATGGAAGTAGCCATTCTGAAAGTAATCCAGCAGCACACACGACATGGGTATGGTCACTGCGGACTCCTTGAAGAGAATTCCCACGGCGGTTAGGAACATAATCAATGCGCCTGTTTGAGGACCATGTTTTCCGGAGTTGGCCACGGTCAGCAGAAGGCAGAGCAAGTGTATCATGCCGAACATTAGCTCTGCCCTGCCCACCACACCCGAGACCGCTTCTGTGTGGATTGGGTGGGCGGCAAACAGGGCTGCGGATAGAATGGCCCATCGCTCCGTGTTCACTTCTGGCACGTACAGCGAGCGCACCAATCTCCACATGAGCAGCGTATTGACGCAGTGCAGCAGGAGATTGAGGAACTTCATGTGGGCGGCAGTCAGGCCCAGCAGGGCGTACTCGCAGTGGAACATCAACGTGGTCAGTGGCCGGAAGGACTTGTGCGAATCGGCACTGAGCAGGGAGGCGCCCCAGAAGTCATGTGTGAATATCGCCGTCCAGTTGGTGGGCAGGGTGTTAACATCCCGGTTCTTGACGATGGCCACCGTGTCATCGAAAACGAATTTGGACCCACTCAGACCTCCACATCCGTAGCAAACCAGGCAAACCAGTACCAGGAGCGCCTGGCACACCATGCTATGCAGCGCAGCATTGTGAGCCAGGCCCAACATCCTGGGTTGCATTTTTATTTGCTGCTCTGCCAGTTTTAATTCACTAATTTCGCTAATTCTAGGCTGCGTTGTTTTGTATACATTTTTTGTTGTGGTTCTGGCCACTCACTAGTAATGCATATTCAGCGATGGTGATAAAAAAAATGTAGCTATAAAAAAGCTAGACAAATATATGGTATTATGACTAAACCATATTACTCCAAATATATCATTAAACTTATAGTTGCTTGGCAATAACAGTAAAAAAAAAAAGAAATTAAAAAACCTTAAAAACAAACTTAGATGTAAGAGAAAAACAAAATAATAAAATTTATTTAAAATTTAGCTTGACATTCGCGCGTTAACGTAAACTACAGCAACAGCTGTTCATCTGCAGATAAAAACAAATCGTTGGAAAATTCTGTGAAATCGCAAGGAAAATTTAGTTTGGTCTCTAAAATGTCCGAGGAAATTCTATTTGATTGCCTGCATGCAGAGATAGTCAACTATTGCCTGGATAGCAACAAGGTAGGAGACCCATTAAATTGAAAAACAAATGCAAGCAAAGATATCATTTTGGTTCCGCCTATTAGGAGCACGACCTGGCCACTTTAGAGTACATAGGCTTCACCACCGGCTACCGCCTGATTGAACGTCTCACCCGCGAGGTTTCACGCTTCAAGGACGAGCTGGAGACCATGAAGTTTATTTGCACCGACTTCTGGACGCTTATCTACAAAAAGCAAGTGGACAACCTGAGGACGAACAACCACGGCATGTACGTGGTGCAGGACAAGGCGTTCCGCTTCCTAACGCGCATCTCGCCGGGCACCAAGCAACTAGAGCACGCGCCCAAGTTCGTGGCTTTCACCTGCGGGCTGGTGCGTGGAGCCCTCAGCAATCTGGGCATCAACAGCACCGTGACTGCCGAGGTTCAAAGCATTCCCGCATGCAAGTTCCACATAGAAGTAAATAGAAACTAGTTAGGACATAAGGCAATGTTTTATTACTACAATTATATAGTTACTAAAGACTAGACTAAGCTATTTTCTCGTAAAACGTCACAACGTTGCAGTCAGTCCAGTTGAGGCGTTCTCGGAGAGTCCACTGGTCGACGGGCAGTTGCGGCTGGACGGGATTGGGATCTGTGTGGATACCCAGAGCGGGCAGTGGTCCAATCAATATAAGCCACTTTCCTTGAAAGACCCCAAGATAGTCCAGAAACGCCGGTCGATTGTTAAAATAGCAGAAGAGCAAGGCACAGGGAGAGGTGGCATTGCAGCAGCTGGCCAATAAATCCGTATCCAGTTGGCTAGCCTCCTCCACATAGTTGAGCGGTATGAAACTCCGAACGGAGTATTTACTCTGCCACCAGTTGCGATCGACTTCTAGGCCAAACATAGTGGTTTTCCGCCCACCAGCTGCAGTTATCAGCCATTCCAAAAGTCCGCTACCGCAGCCTATGCTCAACACACTCTGGATGTGGTGCATGGTCAGAAGCTGATTGAAGTAATCCAGATCTACCGATGTGGGCCACACCCAGAGTAGTTTGCGCTTCAGTTGCTGATCGAGGCAGTCGCCCAGGGCGAGCAACTTCCGCCAGTTGGCCGACGCACCATCAGTTAGGTAATAAATTTTCCGCAGAGTCTCGAGTTCCGAACGCTCGTCCAACATATTGAATACTGATAGCTAAGAATTAAGTGATTTTGCTGCTTCCGATGGCCGGCGAACTTGGCAATGACGTGGGCACGCGGAAATATGGCTAGCGGCCAAAAAGGCGTTTACGGTTCGCTTCGGTTCGCAGCACCTGACTTATCTCTAATAAATCAGAGGGCCTGCGAAGAAGGGCCAACATAATAGAGATCAATTTGTGTGCTCGTTTTCGTACCAGCATTTGTAATTTTTGCGCCAGTGCATCTCGATAAATTTGGAGCTGCCTTGGCCCGGGCCACACGGCTGACGTTGCTGCAAGGTGGATTCTTGGGTCTCGTCGAGACTTAGCTCATTCGTGTACTCTTCGTTGTCCAGGTCCAAGATGATCTTGCGGTAAAGTTGGACGTTCTTCTCAGGCATGACATCTGGCAGTGGCAGGTGTTCTGTTACCACATCTGTTGGATCCAGCTGCATCTCTGGAAGTGGAACTGGTAGAGTCGGCTGTGGTGGTAGCATAACTGGCTCCACGTTGCCCACGCTCTGGATCACGCTATTGTAACGCACGTTCTCGGCTGGTCTTTCCACCGCCGCTGTGGCCTCCAGGGCCCTGGATCCCGGTGTGACCATCTCCACACTGCTGTCGAACGCACAACCGGGATGCATTGACCGCAGGTGTCGCAGCATGTTGTCCTTCCGGTTGACTGTGATTTCGCAGTGCATACAGCGGAAGCGTTCCACACCCTTGTGCTGCTTCAGGTGGCGGCCCAGTGCATCTACATCGTTGTAGCTCTTGCCGCACAGGGAACAGGATAGGCGCTGGCGATTCGAATGACGCTTCATGTGCAGCCGCAGCGTGGTCTGGCGCAGAAAGGACTTTTCGCAGACCTTGCACTTGTGTCGGATGCTGTTCTTATCGTGCTTCTGCAAGTGCTGATTCAGATTCGCCTTGTTCTGGAAATTTTTGGAACAGAGTTCGCACTTATAGGGTAGGCCTAAATCGGTGTGGATCGCCAGGTGGCTTTTAAGGGAGCTATTGCGACGGAAAACCTTCTCGCAGTGCGGGCACACATGCTGCTCCTGGTTGTGGGTTAGCATGTGGCGCTGAAGAACGACTGGCTGTTTGAATCTTTTGCCGCAGGCGTTGCACGAGTGCTCCGGTAGCTTCGCATGGCTGCTGAGGTGGTACTTTAAATGGGAGCGAGTGGCAAATCTCTGTAAGGAGTGTGAAGTCGTGACATGTTTAAACAGAAAGGAAACCTTCAACTTACGCGACTGCATTCCTTGCAGCTAAATTTCTTGAGAAGATCGTTGCCGCAGGCCAGGTGATAATACTGCTGGGTGCGACTGCGGAAGTCCTTTTTGCATACCGTGCAGTGATATCCCCGATCGGTAACTATGATGCGTTTGTCTGCAGATGTAATTGCTTTGGGTTCCTGTTGCTTTGGTGTCCTGGCACCTTGCTCGCTTGCAATTCGGCACTCCAGGCAATCGGATACATCCGCCACAAGGCAGAGGCGGCACTTCATGTGTCCACAGCTGTCGGTGACCAGACGATTCTCCCCAGTCGCCTCACAGTTGCAGCGAGGACATTTAGTCATCTCTTTAGTTAAAACACATTGATGAAGCACAGAAAAGTAAAAACTGCAACTGCAGCAGTTCTGCTTCTTCTTGCATTACATTTTCAGACATTCACCCCGAAACGTAAACAAAATACACGGTTAAAAATTCATGTCTTGTTTTTAATATCCTTTATCTTAAAACTAATAATTAAGAAGATCTTTATATACGAGTACTATGAGCTGAGTTTTTCTGTGTCCACCCTGGACTATTCACACATATTTTCCAACTCCAGGCCGGCCACGTGACCAGGAAACAGGTGGGCCTTCTGCATGGGCACCTGCACAAAGTAACGTTCACAAAACTTCGGATTGCGTCCGCACAGAACCTCCGTGAGTATTCTACTATAGCTGACCTTCTTGGTGATCAACAGGCGGCGGGTCTCACCAGTACCATAGCTGCTGGATTTCAAGCCAAATCGGCTGGCCATCCTGCAAGGGAAAACATTATAGTCTGACAAGTTTTAATCACGGATCAAGAGCTTACTGGTGAAAAGAGGCGCGTTCTTCCTTCGAAAACGTGGGCTCAAACTGCATGTCACGCATGTCGTCCGATTTCACATAGTTTTCTATCAGTTTGCGGTAGTCAGCGAGATTTCCCTGTGGATTTATGGAGCCCAGGCCATTGCGATTGCTTTTCAGCAGGTAACTGATAATTTAAAGAATGCTATAGGGCATTCATTAATTTGAAGTGGAGTCTAGAACATACCCAACTGGCTCCTCGCGCCCCTGCTTCAGGCGACCCAAGCCGCCGCCCGCCCAGCCCATCAGACGCATCATACGATAGCCCTTGTTGCTGGCATCCAATTTGGGATCCCCCAGGCTGTCGGCTGACTCCTTGGTAACATTGATGTTCACGCCGTTCTTGCTCTTCTCCACCTTGATGGTCTCGCGCGTGGCATTCAGCTGGAGAAAAGGGGTGAAAGTTTACATCTGGCATCAATCATCACCGGACTATTTATACCTTAATGCTGTAGCAGTGGGACTGGAGAAGGAGCAGTGCCTGCTTAAAGGCCGCCAGCTTGGCCGCCTTGAGGTTCTCTCCCTGCCCCGAACTTATCACCGCGTCATTTAGCAATACTTCGGCGTATTTTGTCGTGTCGCTGACTGGCTGATCCTGGCTTGCGCGCTCCTCGTACTTCATGTTGACAGCGGTGCAAGAGTTTCGCAGGCAGCTGCGTCCACCGGCCAAATACAATATGAGGTGGCCGAAGCGCAGGCCCTGGAAGAGATCGATTGGCTCGCCGCCCCCGAAGCACAGGCGTTCTCGTGTGAATCTGTTTGAGCTATCCTTTGCGGGATCCGCTGCAGGAGCGGCTGCAGCCCGACGCCCTAGTTGTTGGAATTAGGCATTAGGCAGGCTGTGGTCTCAGGCTCTTATAGTTACTAGTGAAATAAAGAATCTCCTCCTCCGCCTCTGGGCCACTAATTGTTCTTCCGTCTACCTTTGGCACGCTGCTCCGCCGCGTCCGAGGCCGAAACAAAGGTGCGCTTCAGGCGCTGTTCGCGTTTGCGCCGGAACTCCTCCGCAATTTCCTTTGACATTTCGGCCACCAGGCGCATCGTCTCGCTGGGATACTTGCAGCCCATGAACTCCATATTGACGAACGTCTGGGCCAGGCAAACCAGGCGGTCCTCCTCGAAGCGCTCCTTGTGGGCCAACATGAAGCTGCGGCGCAGATCCCAGTGCTCCTCGCTCTCGTACTCCGTGCGGTAGCTGTCCACATCCCAATCCAAAGAGAACTCCCCTGATCCGTAGCCGCCATCCTCCTGGGCCTTGGCTTTGACTTTCTTCTGTTTTGGATTTATGTTGGCTCCTGCATTCTCGATCTTCTGACGTTTGCTTGTAGCAGACATTTTAATAAGATATTTCAAGCGTTTTTTCCGGTGGGCATATAAAATGGGGCACGCTGATTGTTTATCGATAGCCCTTAATGTAATCGATTTTATTTCATTTTGACCATTATGACCTTATGACATTGCAGTGACGATTTCGTTTCATCGCGGATTCATTTAAGCTCAGAAAGAGTAGTCTATATATGAAAATTGTAAAAATATGTTTATTCCGCTGACTTAAACGTTATAATTTTATCTTTAAACGATAAAACATATTTCTAATACTTATTTACATTTTCCGTCTCAGTGTTTAAATTTTAAAATTGAGTTGGGGCTGTTTCTACCAATTGACCGTCTTTTTATCTTCAGCAAGCAATTAGTCTCCTTCCAATTTAATGTCATAAGGCCATATACAATAGTATTTATTTTCAGGCCGGGTGGTATTTGTTGTCATTTTCGACGCGGTCACACTGATCACGGCTCCCACAGCCATTCCGTCGTGCGTGTGTGTTTTTAAGTTCCTGCTTTTAATTCATGATTTTTTGGTAACTTGACTATCATTTAAAGAGCGACGCGACGCCCAGGACCTCAGAAACCAATTGCCAAAGTGTCTTCTCCACCAGCGAGTGCACTAAGTGAGAGATCAGTGAGAAAACTGCCAACATGAGCATACCCAACGAGTATATAGCGAAAACGGAGGATGTGGCGGAACAGGTAATATATAATGGCTACTGCGGATTATGCTGCAGACCAGGAGGCCCCCATAAATCTATATGCTCCCCGGAGTGGCTTAATATAGCCAGAAAGTGGTTTTTACGGGCAAGCCCTGGCAGCTGCCGACTGGGAAAACTGCCAACGTCACCCAAACGCGGCAAAGTTCGAGGGTCTTGGCTGCACTATAATCTCGATCCGCTGACATGGAGACTACGTCCCAGGTGTAAACTTGCAATATGGAGCACCTTGGTTGATTGCTATCCAATCTCCAGTACTTCAATTAACAGTTGTTGCGTCTGCCGCAGGGAAAACTCTCTCGCTTCCTCTTTCCCACCTGCGAGTGTATGTGTGTGTGTGAGTGCGAGAGAGCTGTCTCCGCAAGTGAAAGTGCTGAGAGAGAGTGCGGGTTAGGTGGACGCCAGCGACCAGGTCGAGTTCCGTAATAGTCACTAACAGCGAGAAAGCCAGATGAACTTGCCCGCGATTTACATATATACATTTATTAAAATTACATGGAGAGGCCAGGCAAAACCCGTTAGCTGGCAGATAGCAATCGCCAGATAGAGCGTCTAAAGACACGTCACAGTCAGCGCTCGATTTCCACTGACTACGCGCAAGCCACGCTCAATAGCATTGTATATTTGGATCTGTTATCACCTTGTCGATGGCCGCCTTATCATCCTATCAGCAGCCATCCTGATCGCACTTTTTCGCTTTTGCAGGTTATCAAGCGCGGCAAGAATGTGCTGCCCACGGTGGCTCGTCTGTGCCTCATCGCCACCTTCTTCGAGGACGGCCTGCGCATGTACTTCCAGTGGAACGAGCAGCGCGAGTACATGGACATGAGCTGGGGCTGCGGCAAGTTCCTGGCCACCGTCTTTGTTCTGGTCAACCTGCTCGGACAGCTGGGCGGTTGCGGCATGGTGATGGCCAGGTTCAAGGTGGACATAGCGGTGGGCCTGCTCTTCTTTATCGTTGTGCTGCAGGTGAGTCTGCCTCCCTACTCTTGCGAGGAAACTTTGTTTTTTAATCAGGATACTCCGCTTGCAGACCGTGGCCTACTCCATTCTGTGGGACTTCCAGTTCCTGCTGCGCAACTTTGCCCTGATCGGCGCCCTGCTGCTCGTCCTGGCCGAGGCCAGGATCGAGGGACGCAGCCTTTTCGCCGGCGTGCCATCGATGGGCGACAACAAGCCCAAGAACTTCATGCAGCTGGCCGGCCGCATCCTGCTGGCCTTCATGTTCATCACTTTGATCCGTTTTGAGCTGAGCGTGTGGCAGGTCATCCAGGACATCATCGGCTCCATTCTGATGGTGCTGGTCGTGCTGGGCTACAAGACGAAGCTGTCCGCCCTGATTCTGGTGGCCCTGCTCACCATCCTGAACCTGTACCACAATGCCTGGTGGACCATTCCGTCCTACAAGCCACTCAGGGATTTCTTAAAATACGACTTTTTCCAGGTCAGTCATTGATACAAGCTTGTGTATGGTGCCCTGTTACATTGTGTTATATTTGCAGACTCTGTCGGTTATCGGTGGTCTCCTCATGATCGTGTCCTTGGGCCCTGGCGGCGTTTCCATGGACGAGCACAAGAAGAAGTGGTAGAGGGACTCGGCACCGGTCGCTCCTTGCACGAAACACTTTCAACAATTGACTTTAACCGTGTTTTACTCTTTCCGAGAAATGTTAGTTAGGATTTACCATAAAATGGGACAACAACAGGAGCAGCATCAGCAGCACAACACCGGCACGTATAAGAACTTGACAATTTTCAATAAAGGGACTTCCGCAATACCCTTTCTCCACTGGCTTTATCATAGGGATCATCCAACCCAACCCAAAAACATTTTCATTCGCGCACATTCAACGACAAACTTCGATTACATTTAAGACATTTTCTTTTTGTACATAACGAGAAAGCAAGAAAAAAGTGTGGCCCCTTTTATAGCCCCTCCCAAATGAGGGACATAACTGATTTTTGTATCTACTGCTTGTCAATATCCATATTTTTCACCGATTTTTTTATATGATTTGTACGCTCTTATAAATAAGTTGTAACCTTGGTGTTTGCGTTTTGTTGTTTGCTAGAAGTTTGAAAATGAAAACGATGTATAAAATATGATGTACCAATTGACAATGATTTGTTTCTTTCGTTTATAAGCAAAAGTGTAATAGAATTAAATTGTAACGTTTTAATAAACCTAAAGAAGAAAAACCGACGACTAAGTGTTTTAAACTTGGCGCCATTTGGCCGGTGAATGGCAAATATATAATTTGTTGAGCAGCACTGAGCACACAGCTGACTGGCTTGTTCACAATAAAAAGCGGAAATAACGATATTCGACTGGGGGATTCCCGGGGACGTGCCCAGAATGAAAGTCACCAGCCCACAGTAACAGAGAATCGCTGTGATAAAAATCATGGTCGTTATCCCCGGGATCTGACAAATAGCAGGGAAAAGGGAGCAAACTGATAAGGTGAGGCTTGTATAAATAACGCCGGCATTTCATCGTCATCATTGTTTTTGATGATTAAAAAAAATAAAAACAAGAAAGCAAGATCAATCCATGTGTGACGTAATATCAAATATGTCCTCTTGGGCAAACAAAGGAACTCTATTTTAAGATCTTTCTTAAGAGTGTAGAAAAAATTCAGTAAAATGCGAATACTATGTTAAATACATAAAGTAAGGTATAACAAAAAGTTTTAATAATTATTAAAGTAAATTTGAATTAAAAAATAAAGTCAATGGAATAGAACAAAAAAATAACACTTATTCCAAACTTTATGGAGACATTATAGGGGCGGAAATATTTGTAGCATAGGCAAAAGCAATATACCCCTATATTTTGTGAATCCAGGGTACACAAATATCAATGAGTGGCTGGGCTCGAAAAGAGAATGCGCCCAAACACAACACATTTGGTGTTCAAAGCGTTCGGAACGTGGACGATTTTAGCTCTGCCGGGTAAGAGTTGGGATGTCGTAAATATTAGTAACGTTCCTGCCTCTAATCAAAACCTAATGAGTGTTTGGAGTTGTGGGCGAAAGGGGCCTGGTGTGGCCAATCAAATCAGCAACCGCCGTTTTATTCGAAATATGTGTAACGTAAGCAAAAGTGAGCGCGGATACATTATAAACTAGTTTGGCTGGCGCACGCTTTTCACTCTCAAATTTGCGGGCAAGAGCTGAGATACAGGAGAACCTATTGAGAAGGGAAATGCTACGCAAATATTTCGATCCGCTTTATTTCGGACACTATTAATAAAGGCCGCGTTGATCTAAAATTGCACTCTTCAAGTGCATGCACCTCTTGCTGTGTTGCCTGTTTTGGCTTTGGATTTCGCTATTTTATTTATATGCTTATTTCACCTGTGTCAGCGGTATTTTCTTACCTGTGCGGTTGACAAATGTTTTGGGGCTAATGAAACGCGATAAGGTTGATCCGAGTGCTAACAACCCGCTGGGGTGCTAAATTTAATCGTGCAATTATTTATTGCCTAATTACCTCTCGTTTTTTGTTTTGCCTCTTGCAGGAACCACCTTCGTCACATCACCAATCCTCTGTACTCACATTCCAGTTGGGGATTCGTTCGGGGGCCCAGCCAACTAAATCACGATGAAGTATTTCGGCGGAGTCGAAGGGTACGTAAAAAGGTCACCCCACAATTTGTAATTCAATAGCCAAACGCGATGATTAACGAGCGTGATTAAGCGCAGGGTGTTGTTTGTTATCCCCTGATCAGCCATATATCAGCCATGGGGAGTGCTTCAAAAGATTCCCATCCCTTCGTCGATAACTCCAACGCTTTAATGATAACAGTCAAAGGTACAGAATGTGATTAGCCTAGGCCTTGATAAACTTGACCAGCTTCGTCTCGGGTATTCGTTTGTTTCGCGTGATCAGCTCCTGGCCGTCCATGAAGGATCTCAGCACGTGGGGTATCTCGATGGCATCTCCCCGCTGATAGGATTCCAGCAGGGCAATCAGCAGGCGGGGAATGGCCGTCGCCGTTCCATTGATGGTGTGGGCATGCAGGATCTGCCCGTCGCTGGAGCGGCGGTACTTGATGCCCAACCGCCTGGCCTGGTAGTCCGTGCAGTTGCTGCAGCTGGAGATCTCGCCCCACATCTGGCGACCCGGCATCCAGGCCTCGATGTCGTACTTCTGGTACGCCGGCGCGCCCAGCTCGCAAGGCGGCATGTCGAGCAGCCGAAAGTTGAGGCCCAATCGCCGGAAGAGATCCACCTCAATGTTCTTGAACTCCTCCAGCTCGGCCTCTGACTGTTCCTCCGTGCAGATGGCAAACATCTCCACCTTGGTGAACTGGTGCACCCGGTAGATGCCCTTCTCCTCCTGCAGGCCCGAGGTTTCGGCCCGATAGCAGCGACTCACGGCGGTCACCTTCAGGGGCAGCTGCTCCTGGGGCAGTAGTTTATTGGCAAAGTAGCCGGCCAGGGCCATTTCCGAGGTGCCCGACAGGCACTCTCCGGTATCCAGTTTGTAGACTTGTGTGCGCTCCCCCTCAGTGCGCATTCCGCAGGACTCGATCACCTCCCTGGGCAGGATGTCCGGCACGGAGATCAGCATAAAGCCCTGACCAGTGACCACCTGCAGGGCATACTGTATGATGGCCTGCTCCAAAGTGGCCAGTTGCCCGGTTAGATAGTAGCTCTTGTGCCCCGTGTAGTTGCCCAGGTGATCCATGCGGTAGAGATTGAGGGCGCGTGCGAGTTCCGAGAACTCCTTGAGGCTGGACTGCGGTGGCAGCTGTCGGTGCACGTACTGCGCCAGTTCCCGTGGCTGTTCACCGTAGTCCTGGAGCCGTGGATGCGTGCTATTGGGCAGTTGCTCGAGCTCCGCCTGAAGTTGTCTCAATTTGTCCTGATCCCCAGCCACTGCCTCCTGGACGAGGGAACGAATGAGCGGCATGTTGTTTCTGTGATGGCGCACAACCACATTCCGCTCCAGCTCGTCCAGCTGGGCACTGGTTGGAACCGGTCGTGGTTTTGGTACCTCCGCCGCCTTTGCGTCATGCGACCTTTGGCGGCGCAGCAGCAGCAGAGGCCTCAGAAGCCGGGAATTCGTCAGCAATTTCATTTTAATTAAAGCGTCTTTTTGAGGCACGCCGGGGATCGCGGGTGGCGGTGCGGTTTCAGTCACTTTTCAACGAAAACATTCAATGTTTTTGCGAACAATTGGTTAATATTTCCGCACACCCGCACATAACACAATGTTATCTCATGTTAGGTGCTAACATTCTGTTAAAATTCGATTATTTATCGAAAACTTTCTTTGTTTTGTATGTTTAACGTTACGCTAAGATAACGTTACGTAACGGAACACGGTTTGAATTGGCGGCAAAGATATTTTTATGACCGAAATAAATTGGACTATAGTTAAGAATAGTTAAGCAGCGATAACAAAACATCTTTTGTTGTGCCCATTTTGCATGGACTATCAAATGATTGCCTCAATTGAGCGTATTAACGTGCATTTTTGTTTCGTCAGTTTCTCTCTCTCTCTCTCTCGCAGTTGCTGCAATATGCAATATAACGGTAGTTGCAAACCCCTATGATTTGCTGGATTAGAATCTAAGATTAGATATTTTTCTTTTTACCCGCATTAGAGCTGGGTTGAAATGAGATACTTCACACATAAAGAAAAATGTTCACAAGATGGTAATTAATTTGAATATAAAAATATTAATTGGTCAAAAATATTCTTAAAACCGCAAAACAATCAATAAATATGAAAGGTCATTAAAGAGAATGGAACTTGTTACTAGATGTTCTACTATTAGATTAATTTAGGATATTTATCTGGCATGATTTACAAATGAACTGTTTAACTTTTTTCCCTGTGTACATGTACACTTTCTTTATGTTTTCCCGCATTTGGACTCGGTTTTATTGAGATCCGTGGGTTGTCGAATACTATTTGTGCGTGTGACACGTTTTTTCCAAATGAATTTGTCAATTGTGCGGCTCTTTAATTCCAATTTACAGTCGCCAGATCGGTTAATTCAATTTGATTCAATCGCGTTATTGTCTGCGGTCACGGCCCCAATAACAATCCAATAACTCCTATTGTGTAATGATCAAGAGAGTCCGGAAATAGAAACCATTTGCTTCTTCTTCTTTGTCTTCTGCAGAGGAGCCACCCACTCCAGGCTGGTCATCTGCGACGAGAGTGGCCAGTCCGTGGGCTCCACCAGCGGCCTGGGCACCAACCACTGGGGCATCGGCATCCCGGAGTGCGCCCGCCGCATCGCCGACATGGTGGAGCGGGCCAAGGAGGAGGCAGGCATTTCCAAGGATACGCATCTCACGAGTCTGGGATTGAGCCTCAGCGGTTGTGAGCAGGTCAGTTATTGCTAATCCTTTTAAGTGTTTTGTATTTCTTTCCTACAATATGCCTTAAACTCTGTTTTTAAATCGGTATCCACTTAATTTTAAAAATCTATCAGTCCAATTCTTTGAAAATCTTTGTGCATAAGATGTATGACAGAAAAAAAGAATTTTAGATTTTATATTTAAACTATTTAAAGAATGTTTAAAATTTAATAAGCACAAAATAAGTTCGTACCCATGTAGCCCATTAGAGAGTTTTATTTAAAAGTACATTTGAATTTCAACAGGAGGCCACCAATCGCGAGCTGGCGCAGGAGCTGCGCAATACGTTCCCGGGTCTATCCCTAAGCTATGCCGTCTCCAGCGACACCATGGGTAGCATGTACACCGCTTCCTCGATCGGGGGAATGGTCCTTATATCGGGAACCGGCTCCAACTGCCTGCTGCGCAATCCTGATGGCTCTACGTTCAATTGCGGCGGCTGGGGTAACTTCCTCGGCGACGAGGGCAGCGGTAAGTCGCAAATCGGGTTGGCCTTATCAACTAATGGTCTACTAATGCCGGGCCAATGTCGAGATTAACGGCTGCAACTCCGATTAGGATTGCCTGATAGCGTTGATTGCCATTGACTCATAGCCGCCCCTGTTGTTGATGATTTCGCAATTATCATACTGACCCCCAAAACCCTTCTACCCGGCAGCCTGGTACATCTCATACCGAGCAGTCAAGGTGGTGTTCGATCACATGGACAACTTCGAAAAGTCGGCGGCTCCTGTGGAGAAGACCTGGGCCCTGATCAAGGAGCACTTTAGCCTCGAGACGCGGCTGGACATGCTGCCGCACTGCTACGCCAAGTTCGACAAACCCTTCTTCGCCAACCTGTGCAAGAAACTGGCCCAGAATGCGGAGAACGGTGACGAGCTGGCACGTGGTCTGTTCCGGGAGGCCGGCGTGCACCTGGCCCGAATGATCCTCTCCCTGCTGCCCAATGTGCACAAAGATCTAGTCAAGTCCGGCGACCTGAGCGTGGTGTGCGTGGGATCGGTGTGGTCCAGCTGGGACCTGCTGCAGGAGGCCTTCATTGCGGAGCTGTCCAAGACGGAAATCCACTTCAACCTCAAGCTGGTGCAGATCACCAAGAGCAGTGCCTACGGAGCCTGCTATCTGGGGGCGGACAGCGCACACTTCGATCTGCCGAGGAACTATGCCGACAACGTCACAGTCCTATACACATACACTGATCCGCGAAAGAAAGCCAAGGCTAGTAACGGCGTATCAGTTAGATAGTATTACTATTCAAGTATTCAATAGAAACACTGAAAAAATTAAATGAAACTATTTGCCTTTACCGTTCCATTTTCAAGAATTATCAATTTCAACAATATATATATTGGGTTTGTTAGAAATACGTATGAAAATTTTATTCGATAATGTTCATTGTATTAATTGTATGTGTCTCAATGTTGGCTGTCACTGTGCGGCATCTATTTTGTAATACTTTGATTGTGTTTAAAGCCAATTCGTTTTTATTTCGCCGTGCTGTCATCAATTCTTTGGCTAATTTGATTCTCAAATCGGAGAGCAAAACAATAATGTTTCTATTTGTAGCAAAGAAATACAGGAGGCCAAACATAATATCTTAGGGAGCTTAGAGTAAAGTATTTGGGATAATGTACGAGTAGTTGAATCGAACGCCGTGGCTTGGGAATCAATATTATATCTATGTATAATTGCTTGGATAATACATTTCACGTACTGTATGATTGAATGCGACATACCAAAAGAGATTTCCAATAAAATCGAATTCAAATATAACCAAAACTACCCAGACAAATGGTCAAGATGTGGGCAGCATAGCCAATTAATTGGCTCTCCGGCTCTTACATTGCGACGCTTACCTCTTGGCGGAGTGTTTTCAACTGCGATTAAATATAACCTATTTGTATGCGATCGGCTTAAATGCATGCCTTGCCAAAGGGGATTATTCAATTGTTCATGCTCTGGCGCAGCTTCTGGGGATCCTGGTAATGCGACGACGACGAGATGACCGAGGGATGCTGCGGCGGCGGAAAGCACCGCACATGCTCCACATTTGAGCCCTCGCCGTCACCACCCTTCAGATACTTATTGAGTATGGAGAAGATTTGTGAGTTTAGTACCTGGAACCGACGAATCCGATCCACCATGCGCTTCAGTTGCTGCAAAGTAAGTATGAAATCGTCAACATATTGCCAAATAATCATCAAGCAGGGTACACTTACAATGCCCTTGACATCCTCATCCTTGCCATCAACGCGTTGCACCCGCAGAATGTGGTAGCAAAAGTCGAGAGCTTCGAAGCGTCGCTGCTGGCCGAGCAATACGATCATGACGCAGCCCGCCCAGTTGAGACCCTCGCCAAAGAGTTCCTCAATGGTGTACTCCGTTCCTCGCACTGGAATGCAATAGACGAACTGCAGAGCCGACCACAGGCGGTGGAATTCCGAGCACTCGTCCACATGGATTATTCCGTTGGCCGGCGGGGGACCACACCACACCGGATCGTCCAAATAGCTCTTTACCCGGTTGAGAATCACCTCGAAGATGCTGAGGCCGCAGCAAAGGCGTTCGCGTGTCAGCAAATCACCCTCGCGGGCAATCATGGCTTGCTGTTGGCGGATATTTGTTAGAATATTTCGGCAATAAAATTGGGTAATCTTCTCACCTTTGCAGTGCCGATCTTTTCAACGTTTGAAACTATCTGCAGGTTGGCAAACTGGGCTTCAAGGCGCTTTTGCTTAGCCTCTGGCTTCTCATTCTCTGCAGAAAGTAAAGACACAAGTGTTATAAAATATTCCTGCAATTTGCCACCTTTACATACCTTTGCAAAACGGCCTGGGAAAGATGTTTTGGAAGAGGGCCGCGTGCAGCAGATCGCACACCTCCTCCTGAGAGAGGGCCTGCTCAATCAACAGGCAGAAGATTATGCTGTTGCCGAACTCCCGGAACGACTGGAACAGTTCTGTCTTGGCGTCCGGATATTGCACGATGTCTGTCAGATGCGCCTGGTAGTAGCTCAGCACCCCTGGAGAGCCGTACTCGCAGCGGGGAAGTTTGCAGGACTTGGGCATGGCAATCATTAGCGTCTTGGTGAACTGCAGCAGCGAGCCCTGTATCAGCGGCTTCACAATGTCCTTCAGTATAATGTCCATGACTACTGCGATACCCTGGTAGCCTAGCAGGCGGCACATGGCATGGAAGTGCGGCGATCCTACGAAGCCAGTATACTGGCCATACTGTGTGGAATAGGCGGCATTAAGTTGCTTGGAGCCCCACAGATAATAGTGCGACATTTGAGGCGGCTTCTCACGCTGTATAGCTTGTGACGACGACAGATTTACTTTGGTTCGAATGAAACTAAGGGGGAAAGAAGTGATTAGTGATTTTTACCTTTTGAATAAACAAGCAAACTCACCGATTTGTGGCTGCATTATAGCAGTAATTGACCAGGAAGTCATAGTTTAGTTCCACAAAGACGTGCAGTGTGATCCTGCCGTAGGGCGCCAGGACATTGTGGTTGGCCTCCTTGACCATTCCGTCAAAGTTGTCCAGGGCCAAATATTTGCTTAACAACTTGTGGCAAATTCGATTCGCCTCCAGCAGACCTTCAAGTTCCTGCAATTAAACATGTGAGAGACAACATTTTGGTATCCATCTGGTTTAATCTACCACAATGCCGGTTATGTCGTTGCCCTCGAAGCGGCTGATGGCCAATTCAATGCTTTTGTGCATGTTGGCGTTGATGCGTTGTGTGATCAGTTTGTTCAAGTCAATTGAACGGCCTAAAACACAGAGTATAATTAAATGTAGGCCAGATTTGCTAAAATGCAGGATTCGTGCTTACCCAACAGTTGGACATGTCGTTGCTTTAACAAAGTCTCATAGCGGTTGTTGCGCGGATACGATTGGAAGTTGAAACCGAGCACCTCGCACTCCAGCCGGAATCGCTTGTCCAGAAAAATACTGCCCGCCAGCTGCTTGTAGTGGGCAAATATTTGCTCGCTCAGCTTGTAAACAAACTGGTCGAAGCACAGATTGACTTCGGCCTCCACCTCGTCGTAGAGGAACTGCTTTCGGAAGACGGTGAGGGCGTAGTACGCCGAATCGTTGTACAGATCCAGGGGATACAATACAAATCTGTGGAATGATAAAAGTAATTAGTATTTTGCTATGCCAATCGCTAGCCCATCACTCACTCCATCATCGAGGGCTCCTTTGTTTGCAGAATGTGATCGGTAAGAATCCACGGCATGGACATCTCAATTGGGAATTGAATGCGCTTCTCCATGGTGATGAGATCCTTGCACTCCTCGTTGTGCTGATGTCGCACCAAGCACTTGTTAACCTTTCGGCCCATGGTCATTTCCAAGTAGAACTCGCGGTACCACAGCTGCGACAGATCGCAGCACTTTTGGAGCGTGTCGCTGAAGTTGAGCAGGTAGCTCCAGTAGAACGAGGTCTTGTGGAACGTGTCGATCTGCAGCAGGCAATTGCCGTCGATGTCCTTGCGCAGCGTGCGCTTGCCGCCGCTCTTATCGGCAATCAGCGACTCCAGCATTGTGCGCACCATGTACAACTGCGTCGAGGAGGGGCCGACGTTTAGGCGTGGCACCTGGATGCGGAAGCCGCCGTCGGGATCCTTCTTGCCCTTGGCCACCGGGTCGTCGGTGGGCTCGTAGCCCTTTTGCCAGTCCGCCGAGGTCTCACGCACCGACATTATGATGCTGCGGATCAGATCCTTCTTGTTCTTTACCGCCTTGCGCAGCGGTTCACGCAGCGAAAGCTGGACAAAGTCCTGCAGCTCCGAGTAGATGTTTCGCCGGATGGCCTCGCACAGCACGGTCTCGATACGCGCCATCAGCACTTGCAGTCCCTTAATCATTGCAATCACCTCGATGAGGGCGAACTTTTCCTCCGAGGTGTAGTTGTAGCGGGTGGCCCGCTCGTACTCCTCGGCCTCCACGGGACACTCCTTGTTCTGGTGGTGATCGGTGGGGTGCAGTAGCTTCCAGGAGTACAGCTCGGTGACCACACTAGTCCACTCCGACAACAGCTGTAGACCGCGCAGGGCCAGATCGCCCGTAATCCGATTCTCGGCATCGGAGGGATTCTCCTTGACAGTGGTGGTCACCTCGTTTGTGTATCGCGCCAGCTCCGAAATGTACTTGACGTGATCCTCGCGAATCTGCGGCAGATGCACCATCAAGTCCGCCTGGGGACTGATGGCGTTCGAGCTGGACAGTGGCCACTTGCTGGAGTCAAAGTGCTTGCTGCGCTTTATGTAATTAAAGGGGGCGATCTGCATGTCGCCGAACAGAGGCACCACCTCCAGGTTCTTGAAGATGCGATCGATGCGATCCAGCCGGATCTTCTTCTTCTGATCGAGCTTGTTGATATTGCACGCGTCACTGTCCATGAGAAACAGGCCGAAGCCCATCACCTTGACCAGCATATGCTTCTCCTCGGGGGTCAAGTACATCTTTGTCTCGAACATGTGCACGCAAATGTTGACCACGTCCGAGAGCAGATCCTCGTAGCCGACAATCTTCTCCAGCGTGTCCTTGACCGTGTCGCGAATCTTGTTCTGCGTGGCCAGGAACATGGAGAGATTCTGCGATTCCTGCAGGGTGTGCGAGTCGGACATCACCTTCAGAAACTGCGCCGCCCTCCGATACGTGGAGTAATCGTTCTTAACGCTCGACTTCATGTTCTTCAGCTCGTCCAGCACGGCGAACATGTTGATGAACTTGCCCAGGGTCAGCAGGTAGGCCTCGGACACGAAGTCCTTGCGCTTCTCGGCGTGGCACAGGCGCTTCACCTCGCCGGAGAACGCCTCGATGGCCTTGCGCTGGAAGTACATGAAGTTCAGCAGCTTGTTCACCTCCGGGGCCAGGACCTCCACTGTCTTCTCGTAGATCTCCACGCGATTGGGCTGCTCGTTGGACTTGGGCTGTGGAATGGCGCGGGAACAGCAGCGCCAAGTGTACAGCATGACTGCATGTTTCTGCCCCTCATCCAATAGCACATTCTGCGGGCAAAGGCAAGGGGAGGAGTTGTGAGTAACTTGGGTGATAAGGCGAGTGTGCGCTAACTCACCAAGTTGGCGTGGGTGGTGGCCTCCTCGATGTACTTGGCAATTCCTGTGACAAACCCATTGCGATCCTCGAAGTTCGTGTCGAAGTTTGCCTTGTAGATAATCGAACAGGGCTGTGCCTCGATGCAGGGCTGCTCGTCCGGCAGCGAAAGCTCGTCCAACACCTCCACATTGGACAGCGCGTCGGCTAGCGTAATCTTCTCCGTCATGCTGCGCTCCTTATCATGCCTCCAGCAGCTCGAATTAGGTAAAAATTAACAAGGCGGGGTCCACAATCCAATCGACACACAAATTTTTTTCGCCACAAATACAACACGACTCATTGACATTCGCATGGACACGTCGCCAAGCGGCCATATTTAGGGAATTTTTGATGGGATTTTGATGTATTTAGTTTCCTACCAATGGTTTGAGTATTGGGTTCAGGGCTGCAGTATTTATTTATAGTGTATTTTTCTGGGCGAATGGTATTTTTATCGTTATCGAGCTTTTTGTTGCACGTGCAGTTGGTCAAAACAAAACACAGCGTAAATAAACGGCAATGAATAACTTCGAGATTCGGGAGTTGCCCGGAAAGGTAAGTGGAGTGATAGAGCCCACGTCACCATAATAACATGTATTTCGGCAGGGGCGAGCCATGATCGCGACCAAAAGCTTTGCGACTGATGAGGTGATTTTCGAGGAGGAACCCTTTGTGTCCCGTCAATTTTCATGGAACGTGGCCTACGGCTACGCAGCCTGTGACCACTGCATGCGGCCGCTGGAGACGGTGCTGGAGAACGTGCGACGGCTGGCCAGCGACCCCAAAGTTGAGGTGCCTCTGCTGCAGCACGATCCAACGGCCCAGTGGGTGGGCCAGTTCACCCAGTGCTCGCGCTGCAAGGTGCGCTACTGCTCCGAGGACTGCCTGATGGAGGCCCAAAAGCGGTACCACCGGGTGGCCTGCATGGGCGCCTTTCGCTCCGACGACACACATCCCATTAACGTGCTGAACGAGACCTGGAAGAAGATGCACTATCCGCCAGAGACGGGCAGCATCATGCTGATTGTCCGTCTGATGGCTCTCTACCAGCAGAGCGCCAAGAAGGCGGAGTTCCTCGAACAGTTGCAGTCCTTCCAGGCACTGATTGTGAATCGCGAGCAGAAGATCTACCACAAAATGCTGGGCGAGAACTTCGAGCAGCAGATGGAGCAGCTTTACCTCGCCTTCTGCAATGCTTTTCCCGGCGAAGAGTTCGCCATGGTATGCATTTTCTTTTGCCAAAGGTGGTTAAACTTATTCTTTTAAACGTTCGCAACAGTTCACCACGCCAGATGCTTTTAAGACCCTGATGGGAATAATGGGCACCAATAGCCAGGGCATTGCCACCAGCGTGCTGTCCCAGTGGGTGGTCAAGGTGTCGGACCTACCACTGCCGGATGATGACAAGACGCAACTGGACACGGTCATCGACGGACTATATGCCAAAGTCGGAGAATGTAACTATTCCTTCAGGACATTTATTGAATTAAGTATCTATATGGAGTGTTTTCATATCAAACAGTTGCTGGCGAATTCCTGAATAACGAGGGCTCTGGACTGTACCTTCTGCAGAGCAAGATCAACCACAGTTGTGTGCCGAATGCCTGCTCAACGTTTCCCTATTCCAACGACATTGTTGTGATGAAGGCCTTGGCTCCGATCCAAGAGGGCGACGAAATCTGTATCTCCTATTTGGACGAATGCATGCTGGAGCGGAGTCGCCATTCGAGGCACAAGGTGTTGCGCGAAAACTATATATTCGTCTGCCAGTGCCCCAAGTGCCGGGCCCAGGCCTCCGATCCCGATGAGACCAGCGAAGACGAGGAGGACGACGATGATATGGACGATTACGACGATGATGATGAAATGAATTAGGCTAAGACTATACTCTTACAACGAAGTTTGTTTATTCAATAAGTAAACAGATCATATTTGTAAGCATATGTACATATGTATGTGCAACTAGATGTTAGAAGAATATATGTTATTTTGGAGAAATAATGAAAATTAGTTTTTAATGCAAGCTATGTGGGTGTATAAAAGTACTAAAACTAAACATTTTATGAAAAGCGGTAGCATAGTGGTGGTAAGTTTAAATATAACTAAAGTTCTACCGGGTTATTAAGGGTTCACTTGTTATGGTCGCAACAGTAAGCTCAAAAGTCAATTGTTGCTTAAAAATCTAAACGATGTTTCTGGGCGTGCGTCGCCCAATTGCATCTATGCTTGGATATAAAAAAATGTGGAACTATTGGTAACTATGAGAAAAACAACACTTTATGTGCGAAGAGTTCTTAAAACTCAGATACAATTTTTTCGTTTTATCGAGAATGCACTTTATCTACATATACATACATACATAGTTAGTCATCCTGGCATGGAGAACGTTTCCCAACACTTGCAAATTCCATAAGCTTTGTAGCGCGATCCGCTTTGTGTGCACTTGCATTTCAACAAGCTGTGCAAAAAACACACGCATGTAGAAAACTTTAGCCGGAAAACGTTAAATATGGAAAAGAGATTTATTTGGCTGGTGCTATGCATCCTGCACAGCTCTAATGGCCTGTACTTCAAAATGCGGGAAAAGGAGCGAAAGTGCTTTATTCAGGCAACGCCAGAAGACGAAACAGTGATTGGTAAACAAACCTCCTCCCCTTTAAGCTTTTTGAACTGCTAAAGATTACATTTATTCAGTTCAATACAAGGCGGAGGTGGAGGATCCCAGGTCCGGCGGCTTTATGCCCATGTCCCCCGGTATTGGGATGCATGTGGAGGTGCGGGACAGCAATGAGAAGGTTATAATCTCCCGCGTCTATGGCTCGGAGGCTCGTCTCATGTTCACAACCTTCTGGCCAGGCGACCACCACATCTGCCTGCAATCAAACAGTTCCGCCTGGTTCGAGGGCGCCCTACTGCGCGTTCACATGGAAATAAAGACGGGCGAGCGCACCGCGGACTACGCAAGGATTGGGAGGACGGAGCCCCTGGATTACATGCAGTTGCGGGTTCGACAGCTTATGAATAAGGCAGATGAGATTGTCAAGCAGCAGAATTTCCAGCGCTATCGGGAGCAGCTCTTTTTAGAGTCTCACAATAACCTCTACTCCGAACTGATCTTTATTTCCATAGTCCAGGTTGTGGTCCTCCTTACTTTTATGGCCATTCAGTATCGTCTACTATTTGGTAACAAACCACTGTTCTTGGCCTACTGCAAAGCTCTCAGTGACGAAGAGCTGACCAGGGTAAGTCTTTGCAAGAAGGTCCTAGTTAATTTAAACCAATTTTAACCAAACAATTTAGTTCAGGACACCAGAGGCGTACAGGGCACTCATGACCCTGCTGGGTCCCAATGGTCAAGGGCTTACCACAAGCGCCATTTCAGAATGGGTATTCCAGCTACAAGATCCAGAGTCAAGGGATGAGCAAGAGCAAATTATTATCAGTGAAAAGCTTCAATCTAGAGTGACAGAATGTAAGCCGGTTCCCTTTTGCGTAGGCTAACTGATAACATTGCTTTATCTATTCACAGTTGCTGGGAAGTTCTTCAGAAACAGAGAAACCGCAATTCCGGGAAATCCATATGGCAGCCACTACGCATCCAATGTCCAATTGACGAATATCCTGGCCGATGTACAGCGTAGTCGTAGTGGCCACTTGAAGGGCGACACCTTCTTATTGGTCTGCGAGTGTGAAGATTGCAGGGTCAAGGCTCCAAAAGGACTAGACAAGAAACCATTAATGTAATCGTTTAACAATCATGTGCAAGTTGTCACTTTGTTCTTGTAATTCTACCAACAGATCGCTTCTAAATATAAATTTAATTTATAAATGGCTAACAAATCTCATCAGGAGTTGGCTTCGCCGCCGGCGGAGACGGGCGTCAGGTTAATCAGGTTGTTACTGCTCTCGGCCAGCTCGGCGATGGAAACGCGTCCGCGCTGCTTGATAAACTTGGCCACGGCCGCGAGCTCCTCCTCCGAAACGTAGATGAACTTGCCGCGATCGTCGATGACGCCGGTGAGAGTGCCATTGGCCTGCAGATCCTGGATGCGATCGATGGCCTGCTGAGTCTTCAGTTTGAAGGCCACAGCCAGGTCTTCCAGCACGACCACCTTGTTGTCCCTGATGTACTGGATAAAGTCGGCCAGGAGGCTGTCCTGATCGTCGGCGTCGCCCTCCTCGAAGCCCTCCTCCTCGACGCTAAAGGCGGCCTTCATCTTGAGGTACTCCTCGTGCTCCTTCCGCTCCCGCTCCTCCTTGGCCAGGCGCTCGGCCTCCAGCCGTTTCCGCTCCACCTCGGCATCGAGATCCTCCTGCTGCTTCCGTTCGGCCTCCTCCTTGGCCTCCTTCACTTTGCGCTGCTCGCGATCGTGCAGCTCCTGTTCGCGCTGCACACGCTTCTGCTCCTTGGCCTCCATCTTGGCCCGCTTCTTGGCGCCCATCTTCTCGTCCAGCACTGCGCCCTGGGGCACGCGGGCGCCATCGGCATCCACCTGGGCATCGGCATCTTCGTTGTCCGAGTCGCCGGGGGCCACCGGAGCAACTGCAGCAGGAGCAGCTCCCGCCGCGGGAGCATTCTGACGCAGTCGGTTGCGCTGATTCCTGGCTATTTGGGCCCGACGCGGCACTCCCTCCTGGGCGCGTTGGGGGACGCCACGTTGTGGGGCTGCAACTGGCTTGGTTTCTGTTTTGGGGTCAACAATGTTAAGTCGCCTTCTGGAGAATGTACAAATCTTTCCCGTCTCACCTGGGCTGGCATTCTTCTTCTGCAGCAGGTAAAGCGTGATAATAACGACCAACAGAGCCGTGGCAATTCCCGCGAGAATGATTAGATCCATTTCTGACACGAAAAGCAGCGACTTTAGGTTTTTCAACCTGGTGCGCAATGTTTTTGCTAAAAAAAGTAAACGTCAACAAAATGAACATATGGCGCGTCAAGATAGCAACGACATGTGCTGCAAATTTAGCCGTTTTTTAGCCATTTAGCTATTTTTAAGGCGCCTGCTTTTTGGGCTCTAAATTAAACTTTCATTCTTTTTAACTTCTTAATAATTTAAAATGTATTAAGTATGTATTAATACTGACTGACTTAATTCCAAGCAACACATGAAGAAGTCTGGAAATGTATTCACATGAAAAGATAAAGAACAAAAACATGGGAAAATTGTATTTAAGCATATCCTGCAATTTCTTACCTCCAATTTTTTATAACGGCTTGGGAGATAACAGTTTAAAAAAAAAAATTGTAAACATAAGATTACATGGAACATAGAGAGATCTTTAATTTTTAAATACATATATTTAAAGCTCTGTTAAATCATCAGAGATAAGAAATAAAGCAAAATTAAAGAATAAACTGAAGTTCAAATTTAAATATTATTTAATTGTGAATCTAGTCAAATGGTCAAAAGGATTGATATCGATAAAGGATTAAATTTGCGTTGGTAGAAAATAGAAATACCGCTACTTTTGACAATCCATCGAAGTGAAATTTTACGGGTATATAAAAACTTATTTTATTCCGCAAGGTTACAATTTTTTTGATGCCTTATGCTCCAATTAAATTCAATTTTGGTTAAACATTTGTATCTCATTCCGCATCAATACTTTATCCCCGACCAGTCGCATTCCCATAAAAAACGCCATCCTTGACTTGTACTGTACTATCCATATAATAATCAATTACATCGTTTAAAATTTAAAGACATTCTAATGTAATTTGTTGTTTTGTTTTCGTTTCTTGTGTGTATATATAAACATCTTGTTAACAGCGTTTTGTTTTTGTTTTGCTTTTTAGTTTGCTTGTTGTAAAATACATAATATTTCATAATTGTAATAATATATCCTTAACAACTATTAATATTCAAATATAATTTTCTCTGCTTTATCATTATTGTTGTGTTTTGGGTTCTTAGTTCTTGTTAAGCAATTGTTTCTGTTTCTGTTGTTGCAGCTGTATCTGTTTAGCTTGTGTTTAAATTAAGGTTTTATTCACTAACCAACGCCATTTCCCGCGCCGCAGGCGTCAGTGACTGGCCCAAAGCGGAGGCGGCTGACACCGCGCTGCTCAGCCCATCGTCGTCCACATCCGCTGCTCTCGCAGCAGCAGCTGCAGCTGCGGATGCCTTTTTGCGCTCGATCTCCGCCAGCTCCACCTGGTCATCATCATCACAATTGCTGCGCTCCACCTGGTCGGCGGACTCCTCTTCGTGCGCCTCATCGGCGAAGGACACTTCCACGGGACTGTTGCTGCTATCACCATTAGCCGTCTGATCGTGCTGATTGTTGTTGGCCTTATCCTCACTGGCGGACTTGTTGTTATCACTGTCAGCATCGTCACTTCTCGTCGGCGCCGGCTCCTCCTCGGGTATGTCCTCGATGAGGCTGCGGTTTCCGGATCCGGCCGACGGACTGCGAGGCGGGGGCGTTGTCGTCGTCGACGCTGTGGCAACCGTTGGGATCTCCACCTCGGCCACCTTGCGCAGCAGGACGGGATCGGAGGCGCGCAGCGAGCTCTCCGAGCCGCCGACGCCCTCGCCGCTTGGTCGCAGGACCAGGTAGAGCAGGATATCCGACAGCGAGATGATGCCGATCACTTTGCGGTGCTCGTCGACCACCACCAGTCGATGCACCTCGGCGCGGACGATGCGCTCCATGATCGTGTAGAGCGATTCATCCAGATTGCACTTCTGCACGCCCTCGAACCACTCGTTGCGGTGCTCATTGGCCTTGCGCAGCGACACGTCGAGATCGTTGTAGGTTTTCTCAGCGGCGAGATTCTGAACGAAAAGAAAATAGATTTTAATCATTTGTAATCTGTCGCAGGTGTCCCTGAAATCTCTTTCCATCATATTCCACCCAAATTTGTTTTGAATTTGGAAAAGTGTATAGTTGAAAGAGTTTTAAGCGGTAACTTATTCAATCTACATTTGCACTTCTCAGTAAAACTTTTCTATCTTTCTATCTTTGCGATCAGTGACAACTTACAATCACATCAAACTTTGCGTAGATGTCGACGAGCCGTCCCTCGGCATCCACCAGTGGCAGCGCCGAGACCCGTCGCTCCACGAATTTCTTGAGCGCCGTGATGATGCTCGTCGTCTCGTCGGCGGTCTCGATGTTGTTGTAGGTGCCAATCTTCAGTTCGCGCAAACTCCTTTGCATGTAAGCGGGCTTTGGTAATTCATTAATCTGCGCATAGACAACCTCACGTTAGTCAGCTTGTAACTGCGTAAAAAATAAAGCTAATTCAACTTACGTATAGGAAAAGGAACCTCAGTATGCGTTTGTGTGTCAGGATGTAGAGAACATTGCCGGTGGCCGGGTCGATGACGGGCAGACGATGTATGCGGCTGTGGATGAGAATTTTGATGGCATCGTATAGGGAGGCATCCGGCCCGATGCTGACCAACGGCATCACCTGGTTGTGCAGCACACCTGGCAGAGGAAAACATTTACATTTAGCTGGGAATCTTAATACTGCATTGCTTAGCTTAAGATCACTTACTTCGCCACGTGTCCAGTTTGTGCTCCTCCAGCTGCTCCATGGACGCATTTGGCGATTTGTAATACATTTGCAGGATCTTGATAAAGTCCGTGATGGTGAGCATGCCCACGAACTGCTGCTTCTCCGAGTCCCAGAGCGGCGCAGCCCTCACCCCGTTGTAGACCAGGGCGTAGAAGGCCTTCTTGACGAGAAGCTGGGTGTCGAAGACGACCAACTTGGCGGAGGTGGGTATCAGATCATAGCACTTGTGAAAACGGAAGAACTTCACGAAGATTTGTGAGTCGTCCTCCTCTGCAGAAACAAGAAAACAAGTGGGTTAGAGAATTGTATATTATATATATATAATATAATAATAATTGTATTTGAGGTGCAGATTTGGGATTCGTGATGGGCACCTTTCTTTAGTAGCTCGGCTAGCAGGCGCTTCCAGGCTTCAGAGATCTGTTCAAACTCTTTGATGCTCTCCAACGGGTAGCAAAGGACGTCGGCCTGGCGACCGTTGCCACCTCCCAGCACCAGGCGACCCGCATGGTTCGAGTAGAAGTGCAACTGTAACATGCGTTCTGGGCTCTCTGCGTGCTCTAGTTGTGCGCTTCACTTTTTTCTGGCTGCCTATTGTTTTTTTGCGATCCTCAGTGTCGCATTACGCTAGTCTGATCCTATCCGATCTGATCCGGTCTTGTTTCTGAGGTCTGTGGGTGCTAACAATTAACTGGGCGACTCGATTAGCTCTGCTAATTGGTTGGCCTAATTGGTCAACCAACTACCTAACAGGCTACGAACACAGCAGCGCCGCTCTAACGCAGCGAAACTGATCGAAACTGTGCCGAAAATAAGAGCAACCCTCTGCCATAAGTTTCTAGGCGCACGCGTTTCGTTAAATTTAATTAAGACATTTTTAATTAAAATAAATTTAGCGTACGACAAAACCAACAGTAGCAACCACAAACAGGCAAACACACTAGAATAGAATAGATTCACCAAATTGTTCAACAATAAATATTATTTCGATTCTCATCGAGACAAAGAGAACCCAAGATAGAGGGGTAGGTTGTAGACGGCTCTGCCACAACGTAAGCAAATAAATATTGAGGCGGGGCCAAAAGGTGTTAATCAAAAACTATATAAAATCACACATACAATACATGGGCTGTAGATCAGTCTTGTCAGGGGCCTGATAAATCCAAGCCAAACATTCACCGAATCAGCATTTGTCGGAGCCATTATAGCGACACATAACAGATATTGGGACAGACAGTTGTGCCAAGAAATTAATTAACCACAGCATAAGGCCTCAACACTGAACATTCAAATGTCGGTGAGGATTATTTAGCCAAAATGCATTTGGAAATCTATTTGGGAAATCTTTAAATTTGTTTATACGAAAGTCAGAAAATTTTTCCGCAAATATTGTTTTTTTTGGCATGGATTGGGATCAAAACAAAACTTTTAAATTATGGAGAAAAAAAATGTCTATGAATCGTGAAGTTTAAAGTGGAAATAAATTTCAAAGCTCCTTGCTGTTGGTCGTCTAAGGTATTAATTTCAATACAAACTTCAGTCAAATGATTGTTTATTGAAAAATACTTTACTTGAAACTAGTTGAACTTTTAGTTGGATTAATTAAAATAAACTATTTTAGCCTATAAAGAAAAAACTGTCCACCGCAAAATGAGGAAAAATAAAAAGAAAATTTAAGAAAGAACCAAAAATATTAATGAAAAAAAACGAAAGCCCAGATACAGCGGCAGAAAACATATATACACCGGAATAAATTGTAAAATATGTGGAGCTATAAGCAAATAGTAAAAGATTTTCCGACTAAGCTATGTACACATTTAAATGCTGTTTAATAAATGGAATTTACTGCGGTTGCCGGGCGGCGAATATTTCGATAGATAAAGAAAGGCTAAAGTTATCGAGATAAAAAGCTAGGAGAGATGGGTTAAAGTCTCTTCGTTCTATTTCGTACTCCTCTCTCTTTCTCAATAATATCGATGGGTTTGATTATGTTTTGATTGGTTTTCAATGCATATTTATATTTAAATGTGAATGCAAAGGTATATATGGGTTATCGATTCCGATTCTATACGTTTCTGCCTTTTGCGTTTCTTTTGACAGCGGGCAACGGGCCGCACGAATTAATTGAAATGCTCCTTGGCATTGTTGGTTTTGTTGATTATTTTGCTAATTCTCTTCTGCTGTGTGGGATCAAAACAATTGAAAACCCATTTCCACAGTGGGTGGCAATGGGCGGTTGTGATGGTTCAGTTGCTTTTGGCGTCGCGGCGCTATTCGAAAATTCTTAACGAGTGACTAAGAGAGAAGCGAAGACCTTCGATGGTTCGACTTTGCTTTTCAGTTGGTCGAATCGATTGTTGGGCTGGGAAGCAATTCCTACTCTGGGACTCTGG